AATGCCGTTGCAGGGAATCTGGCAGATATCGACAGAAGGCGGTAGGCATGCAACGAAACAGCAGATAGAGGGACGTAGACAACAAGCGGCCGTGACTCGTGTTTCTTTTTTGGCCTTTTCTTTTTGCTTCTTGATAGACCCGAATAGGGGCATCTCGCTAGGGCGTACTGACACACGTGGCTGAAAGCGAACGCCTCCGTTCACAGCCGTCTCGCGTGGGTACCGAAATTGCGATGCGGACGCAACGAGAAACGCTGGGTAAAAGCGACCAAAGACGCGAGATGAAGTCAAGGAGAGTCGACTAATCAGTCCCAGCACATCCTTTACATCCTCTGCAGAGCGGTCGCGCTTGGCAGGGCGGGTAGAAACGCGGGTCTGGGGTGTCCTTTCCACTGGTTTGGGGGTTCTTGTGACTAACACGCCCAAAAGGGGAATAGTCAACGCCCATTGAATGACAGAGCCCCGTTTGCAAAATTTTCTTTGTCTTCTGACAGGTAGACTATTGGATGTAGAGCAGAGTCACTCGACTAGTCGTCTATGCGGATGGTGTACAACGCTGGTACATCACATAGTTCATTGACTCTTTCCCACCACGGAATTTCAGTCGTCATTTTCAGTTGCGTGTAGGGAAAGAGTTACCCACGTATACGGCTGCAGTGTCCGGCTGTCGTCCCCGGCTGTCGGTCTGCCTCTCCGGTACTGGGGAAGGCGCAAATGGCTGTCGTAGGCGGGCTGGCTGCTCTTTCCCAAGTTCATCATCACGAAAAAGAAACCAAAATAAGCAAAATAAGAAAGAGCCACCGAGGAAAAGCACACGTGCGAGCACGACATCTTGGTGGCAGCTTTCATCGTAACTGCCTTGGGACGGTCGTTGGATCATCTTCTTTCCGTAGATTGGTCATCGTGGGAATGAGGAAAGAGCACCACGAAACCAACACCAGCCCTTAGAGGCATGTCGTAATGAATGAAAACCGGACGTTGACGTGTAATTACGGGCATCTGACGGACATCGAAAACGACAAAAAGGGCCACAAGGCAAAACGGCAAGTGGGCCAACAGGCGCTTGTGTGGTGCCGTCCAGAAAAGTAAGAGTGCAACAGCACTTTCAACATGGAGAAGTGCCATGTTGTATGTTGTAGTGATGACTGCCATGCGAGTAGCGCCTTTGCGACTCGCGCCTTCCGGCCCTGCTGTCTCCTGTCCAGCCTTCTTTCCTTTTCCCCACACCCCCTTTATCCCACCCCAAGACAAGGAAAACGACATCACGCCCTACGCCCTTCACCAGCCGCTTGTCGACACTTATTTTTTGACATCCTCCACGCCGCCAATCCAACGCAGGGGGAAGCCTCCCAGCTCCATCGAAATGTACAGCCCAGATTCTACCCGATTCTCTTCCTACTGCATTAGCGGGTATTCACGCTGCCAGTTTCCTGCCGACCTTGCAGTCATCGGGACAGTTTAGGTGGCCCTTTCATTGTCTTTTTTTCGTCCTTCGTCTTTCTTCGTGTTGCGTCGCTTTGTTCATTGTTGTACCTCCTTCACGCTCCGATCTCCATTTTTAATCCAATATCCCAACGCAGCTGTGCACCGGCAAGGGCGCCCACCCCAGCCGATCGTGCTGGACTACGGAGTAGTCTGCCTGTCTGTGAACAAAGTACGACGTCCACACCAAGACCAACGGTTACGGACTATTGACCTGCTCCCTGTGCCCCAAATGTGACTCAGCTTTTGGCGTGTGTGCTGGGGCCAACAGCTCGTTCCCATGTCTCGATCGGGGCTGGTCTCTTACACCGTTGTTGGTGTCAACAGACTCCACCCAACCATGGCCATGTGGAACTGGCAGCCGACTAACATGATCTTGCCAGGCTCATTGGCCGTTAGACGGGTGGCCTTGCTTTGATGGCCAAGGTGCCCTGGTATCCTCAACTCGAGGCATTAGCCTTTCTCCAGGGAGGAGGACAGGGAGAGGAACTCGAAGCTGTCGCCAGGTTACCGTTCTTCTTCAGCCAGACCCTGAATGCTCGTTGGTAAGACTGCTTATGGAATATTGATTATGGCATGGCGTGCGATGACGCTCCGCTGTTGGTCGAGGACTACCCAGAACGGATATTCTTTGTATATAACTTGGGATGCCCCAGTTCTTCTCATGTTTGTTTTCTTTTTTTGGTCTTTCGTTCAAATCATCATTGCGTCAACAGTTATATATCCAGAATATTGGACATTGGATATTTGTCCCTACTTCTACACTTGCGTGCATGCTCGCTTGCACACTCACTTACACCATTGTCGTGTAAACATCACCATCCAGCAACATCGTTACAGAGCGGCGCAAGACAACAAACGAGGAGCATAGCTTTTCTAAATACTGGGCCATATCACTTTGCCATCTTGTCATTTTCGGCCCCTGTCTCATGCCCAGGACTCGACAGCTCCTCGACTTGCACAGAGACAGCATGACTGGCATCAGCGACAGCGGCAGCAGCAGCAGCAACTTCTCCGGTTCCGGCCCCCATCGCAGCATCGCCTTCCCCAAGTCAAAAATGGAGATCCAGCTGGACAACTACTTCAAGGCCAAGGTGTACACCTCCGGCGACTCCATCACCGGCACCGTCACCATTGTGCCCCAGCGCAACATCCCCTTCGACGAGTTCGAGATCGTCTTACTCGGCACCACCCATTCCCGCGTCGAGCACGTCAGCGCGCCTATTGAGTCTTCGCACGTCTTTTTAAAGCTCTTCATGCCCATTGCCGAAGATGCCTACCCCGTTCCCCGCGTCCTCGAGGCGCACCAGACCTACACGCTTCCCATTCACTTTGTCGTGCCGCACCACCTGACTCTGAGTGCATGCAGCCACAAGGTTGTGTCTCCGCACGTCCACGACCACCACATGCGCCTGCCACCCACCTTGGGTCGCGGCAACGGCAGCGGCGCCGCCGCCGCCTGGGAGCGCGACGACATGGCACCTGAGATGGCCCGTGTCGAGTACACCGTCAAGGCGCGCGTCTACCGCGAGACGCTCAAGGAGGACGGCTCTGGCCGGTCCACCCGTGTCAAGATTGTCGAGGCCACCCAGCCTATCCGTGTTCTGCCCACCTCGAAAATCGACCCGCCTCTGTCCGTTTCCGAAAAGGACCGCGCCTACAAGCTGCAGTCTTCCAAATCAATCCGCAAGGGGCTGTTTGCCCGCAGCAAACTCGGCCGCGTGACCGCCATCACCGGCAACGACTCCATCGGCGCGCCTGAGCCAACTCCCATCGTGCTGCGCCCCGACGGCATCGCAGCCTCACCAACCAACGCATTCGTCCAGCTCTACTTTGACCCTGCGCGCCCCGACGTTGCACCCCCGCGCGTCACCAGCGTCTCTGCCAAGCTCAACGCCCACACCTACTACAGCACGGGTGCCATCACCACCTTCCCCAACCTCGGCGACTGGGCCCACAGCGACAACGTCCTCATGGAGCGCCGCGGCTCGTACGCGACCTCGGTGACGCTGCTCAACAACAGCCTCAAGACCTTCCAGTGGGAGGCCAAGGTGGACAACGGGCGCCGCGACTCGGGCTACTGCAGCAGCGACAGCGGCGGCCGCGAGGAGATGGTGACGGGCAGCGGAAGCGGCGGCAATGCCCGCCGGCGGTCCTCAGCGTCGTCTCCTTCCAGCAGCAAAGAGATGGGCCTCGTCTACGCCGCGCCGCTCATTGTGCCCCTCGAGCTGCCCATGCACAAACGAACGTTCCTGCCGACCTTCCACTCGTGCATCGTCTCGCGCACCTACTCGCTGCAGCTCAATATTTCCATGGTGCCCGCCTCGTCCACGTCCTCCTCAAGCTCCTCCTCTTCGTCCGGCTCCACCACCACCGTGTCTGTCTCTGTGCCTGTTCAGATCGTTGTTGGCGACGCCAACGACGCGTCCATATCCGGCATGCCCACCATCGCCGCCAGCCAGTACTACTACAACGAAGACGCTGCGGGCCTGCCGAGCTTCGACGACGCCCTTGAGGAGGCGGAGGCCGATGCGCACCTGATGCCGCGGGTCATGGCTGTGCCCGACACACAGTATCAGGAGACGAGCGTCCTACCTGGCTACAGCGGCCGGCAGTGATGCCACTGTATCCGTCGTTGGTTTTTCTGTTCTGTTCTTTGCTTCTTTTTGTCTACATCATAAAAGCGTTGCATTTGTTTCCTTTTTTTAATGGTGGTATGAGCAGAGATATCCAAACAGAGCAGCATGGATCTTGTTGTTTTAATGTTGTTATATGCTACGTGCTATTTGTTGTTTGCTTTGGATGCTATTCTTGCATGTTTTGTTTCACTATATATGACGGCAGGATTCATTGCACAGGTTGGGTTGGTTTTCGGTTTCTTGGGAACTGTAGGGTCGCATGGCTTGGGGGACATAATCTCATGACACGTTTAATAGAGTGCACGCATAGCAGCACAGAAACATAATAATATTTATCACGATCAAAGTTGTCAAATTCCAAGTGAGGTCGCACTGAAGTTAGTCTTTGTTTATTTAATTAATATTATATTCGTACTTGTGCACCCATTCTATTGTTTACTATTTACGTATTTAATCGTTTGACAATCTTCACAGCAACTTGTTAGTTTTGAATCACGCATTAAAAATCCTGAACGGACCAATACCGACAAAGAAACTGCAATAAAAACTAAAAACTAAAACAACCGTCGAGTAGGACGAGTTGAGCCTGTGCCAGTCACATTTTACAAAAATTAAATCACAACGAGAAGCGATAAAAAAAGAGACAGGCAAAAGAAAAAAGCCAAAACCAAACAGAAAGACATCCCGTAGAACCCCTGACCTTGAAAACAGACCCATTGTCCTCCTCCCTCGACACCTTTCTTACCTCCATCCTTTCGAATTTCCCCAATTTTCAACAACCGGCCCAGATGCTTCCCCCAGTTTATGAGCGTGTGAGGTCCGCCGGCGCCGGTGCGTCCGCCAGGTCGACTCCTCCGCACGTACCTTACACCAGGGAAACTAACCCAGCATGGCATGCGTGCGAATGCCCTTGGGGCCGAGTTCACTGGGTTGTTAGTACAGACAACATCCTACACGAAAAAAAAAGGACACGGAATGGGTCAACGTACTTGTAATCCACGCGCGTCAGACTCATCTGCCGCTGGCTCTCCAGACCCGCCACGTCCAGGTTGTGCACGCAGAACGCCAGGCGCGCCGCGACCTGTGCGCCCAGGAACATGGCCTCTTCGAACCCGTTCTTGGTCCACTCGCCGAGGTACGTCGGCAGCGTCGCGAGCTTGATCGCCGTCGGCGTCTGCGAGTGGAAATGGTGCGAGTGCGCGCCGCCGGCATCGCCGCCCGCCGCCGAGCCAGGGCCGCCGCCCGTGACAGAGCCCGGCGGTAGCGCGCCCGCCAGGGACGCCGTCGTGGCGGCCTGCAGCAGCGGGTTGACCGACGACGAGGTCGGCAGCTGGTGCGGCGGGGTGTTGAAGCTGCCCGTGGGCGTCTGCGACCCCGTACCCGACGGTGTGCCCATGTTGCTAGGAAGCTCCGACGTGAATATGGTCGCCGTGGACGGCGAGATCAGGTGCCGCGCGTTCAGCGTCTGCAGAATGTTCTCGCGCAGGCCGCGCAGGCGGCAGCCGTTGCCAACAAACACGAGGTTCTCCCAGCACGGCGGGCGCATGTACATCTCCTCGATGCCCTGCACGGCTCGGTAGATGGTGGACACGATGCGGTCAATCTCGTACCGGTCCGCGAACGTAAACCGCTCGAGACCAATCTCGAAGTCGCGCCGCTGCCGCTTGTAGCGCGGACCCTTGAGCTCCTCGACCACGGCCACGGGGGCCTCCTCCACGACCACAGGCGCCGCCGGGGTGGCGGGGACCAGCTCCGTCGACGTCGTTGCTGGCGTCTCGGTCTCGGCGGGCTTGGCAGCGGCAGCATCCGCCTCCGTCGTCTCCTCCTTTGCGGTTGGGGCGTCTTCCATCACGGCGTCCTCGGTCGCAGCCTTTGGCGTGGCGGGCTTGTCATCTGTTGTCGTGACAGGCGCCTCGGCTGCCTTTGGCTTCTCGGCCGCGTCGGCCGTGGAAGCAGAGGTCTCCTCCTTGGGCTTCTCCTCCGACGGCTGGTCCGCGGATGCGGCCTTGTCGGCCACTGGTGCTGGTGCTGCGACGGACGGCGTGTCCTCGCCCTTCACTTCTGTGCTGCGTGCTGCGCTGCCGTCCTTGGGCTTGTCGGCCTCCTTGTCCTTGTCGCCGACCGCTGCGTCTGCCTGCGCTGTCTTGTCTGTCTTTGGTGCACCGTCGGCGTCGTCGTCCCCTTCGCCCTCCTCGTCCTCATCCTCGTCCATCTCCGAGCCCTCGCCTTCGGAGCCTTCTTCGCTACCCTCCCCGTCTTCGTGGCGACCTTTGCCGTTGGCGCCCGTCGCATCGTTGCGCACGCCGTTGCTGGTCGGCAGAGGCGCCTCTTCGTCCTCCTCCTCTTCTTCCTCGACAAGCTCCTCATAGTGGAAGGTAACGCGCGCCCGCTTGGCGTTGGGTAGGCGAACCGGCCGTGCCGCGGCCGCCTCGGCCTCCTTGTCCTTGCCGCGCCGACCGAAGCGGCCTCGCTCCGACCGCTCCTTGTCCTTCTTGGCGAGGAATTCCTTGGTCTGGCCGCTCGTCACAATCGAGGCCACGTCAAGCACGCCGTCGTCTGCCACCGGCAGTGCGCCGTCATCCGCATCGTCGGCACCATCGGCTACGGGTCCAGTGGCAGCGCCGGTCGTGGGAGCACTGGCAGCCTGCGGGTCGTCGGTTCCGGCTGCCGCAGACAGGACAGCCGCAGGGCCGCTGGGGGCAGCGGCGGCGGTCGCGGCCGACGTGTCGTCCTCGGGCAACTCCATGAGCTTGGGAAACTCGGGCGCGTACGGCAGCACCTCGCAGATGTTGCTCTTCTTGAGCTGCTCGGCCATCTCCTGTGTAAAGTTCTTGTCACGCAGCAGCGCGCGGAGGCGCTGCGTAAAGACCTCACCGCCCGAGATGGCACGGTCGTCGCCCGAATCGCCCGGCTCGCCCGTGGGGCCGACGCCCAGGTGGTTGACGATGCGGCTGTCGTAGATGCAGGTGACGTCGACCTTTTCGTAGCCAATGTCGATGACGGTCATGTGGGGCCACTTGAGGCCGTACTGCGTGGCGAGCGCGCTGTTGATCATGCAGAGCGCGGGCGTGCGCGTCTTCTCAAAGATGTAGAGGGCAATGGCCTCGCAGTCGGGCCGGGTCCACTGCGACGAGGTCATGAGCACAATGGGCGTGTTGTGGTAGGTGGTCGTCAGCAGGCCGTGGACATGCTCGAGGAAGGCCAGAAAGGCGTCCATGTTGATAATATAACCGCCTGTATGGCGTTAGAGGTCATTAGTATGGCAATGCACGGCAAAAGGGAACGTGAACAGAAGGAGAGAGTCAGAAGACGGGGTTCTCACCTTGCATGGGGTACACGGCACCCTCGTCCGACTCGGGGTCCTCCACATACTCCCACTCGTCCTCCTTGCCGTCGGCGCCGCTGTCGCCGTTTGCCGTCAACGCGAGCTGCTTCTGCTTCTGCTTCGGCTGCTGCTTCTTGCGCTTAAACGTGCGGTACGGCCGCCACTCGCCCGTCTCCTCGTCGCGGAACATGCGCGTCGGCACGCGGAAGGCAGGCGGCGTCAGCTCATTGCACCCAAGCTGGGCCATCGTCGTGTGGCTGCCGGGGCAGATGATGAGGATCTGCTCCTCCTTCCATTTGTTCAGCTGGCCCGACATCGTGCCTGGATGCCGTGGCGTGCAGCGGTGATGGGGATAGAGGGGTGAGCGAGTCGAATCGAGTCGGTATGGCTGCTAAATCTCTACAGCGAGGAGGCAGAAAGCAGGGGGAAATGGGAGGGGACGTTCAATCGGGGTTGGTGAATTGACGCGTGCAATCGAGAATAGCCCAGGCGCAGACAATTGGCTCGGTGGGAGCGGTGCTCGTGGCTAGCTTGCGGTCGAGCTCCCTTGTGGGCTGCTTGGAGGGTTCGCTGTGTTGCACTTTCTGGTGATTTTGTTGGCTGGGGATTTTGCGACAAGTGGTGCGCGAAGCGTGAGGCGCGACCGCGTGGATTATGTAATTAACACGTGATAGAACACGTGTCGCGATTCTGGTAAGAAAACAACGACGACGTTTGACGCACACGAGAACCGATATTTAGACAGTCGATGCTGGAGTTGTTATTTAATTCTTGAATTTATTTTCCTGCGTGAGTTGACTGCTGATCTATCCAAGCTAGACGTTTTGTTAATCAGTTCGTAGTCTGTCGGTATAAACGGCCCTGGAGGTCCTCCGACAACCTCTCCTGCACTTCATTCGCCTGCCTTCACAGCGATTATAATTCATTAATGTACCCAAGAACGTGGGTGTGGCCGAGGCCAGACAATAGGACGCGCCATCAGTTCCAAATAAGAGACAAAAGCAAACCAAACGCCGCGTTTCCAAATAAGTTCTATCCATGTGTGACGCCGAATGTGACGCCGAAAGGGCTTGGATGCAAGTCGAAACAAGCTGCTTTTTACCATTCACCTGCGCCACTCCCATTTCGCATTCAAGTCAACTAGTCCGCCTTGATGGCACTATCGCACTTTGTTAGTTGATTGCCTCAAATCGGACAGGGGGTATCGTAGGAACTCACCCGTAGATTCTCCGCATAAATGCGTAGGTACTCAAGAAGCCGACGGTGCCCGTCAGCAGCGCATAGACACAGCATGCAATGAAGCTGTGGCTGAAGAAGAGCAGGCTGCTCACGAAGCCGGTGATGTGCAGCTTCGCAAAGTAGTACCAGATGCAGTACAAGAAGACCCATATCGCGCTGCCGCCACCCACCATAAAGGACTGCCACCACCAGTGATAATTCTCCGAGCATAGCTGGATGTAGATCGTGATGACAGTCACCTCGGCAATGGTCAGGATCAGAATGGTCGACACGACAGCCAGGAACCCGAATACGTAGTAGTAGCCGCTCTTGTCCTGCCACAGCGACTGGAAGACAAAGAGAAGCTCGATGAAGATGACGGCAAACGGAATAAGACCGGCGAGCAGCACGGAGCGGATGTCGCGAATGTACCACGCCTGGCGGGGGATCTGGCGCGGCACGGCGCCCGTCTTGGTCGGGTGCTCCCAGGGGCCGACGCGCACGTAGCCGTACCAGGCGCCGGCATAGACGAGGGGCATCTGGATGCAGAGCCACAGCACCAGGATGCCGACGAGGGTACCAAAGGGAATGGCCGTGCTCGAGGCCTGGGCCCAAACGAACAGGTTGAGCACAAAGACGGCACTGAAGATCAGACCCGGGAACAGAATGGCCGTCACAAACGTATTGCGGCGCCAGTTCTGGCCGTCAAAGGTCCGGTACACGCGTGCAGAAAAATAGCCCGAGAAGACACCGGCAAACACAAAGAGGCCGACACCGAAGCTGATGAAACCGCCGCGGAAGCTGGGGTTGAGCACACCGACAGCGCTCAGGAAGACCAGCCCAAATGCCATAAAGAGAAGCTGCATGCCAGAGCCAATCAAGGGGGCTAACAGGGAGCCATAGGCTGGCTTCCGGAAAACATCGCCGTGCAGCAGCTTCCAGCCGGTGACGTCCTCGAGCGCCTCGTCGTCCGAGGACAGGACGTCGGCATCGAGGGCACTCATGTCGACACTGCCGCCGCCGTCTTGGTCGAGCAGACCGCCCGAGCCGACACCCACGCTGGACACAAGCATCTTGTCCCCGCCGGTCGGTGTTGCGGAACCCGCACCGGAACCAGCCGTGCCGGCCGTGCGCCGGCCGCGGCGTCTGCGGCCCTTGCCCTCCTCGACCGCAGCGTCCTTGTAGCCCTTGATGTCGCTGCGTATCGTCTTGGCAAAGATCATGAGCACAATGCCGGTCAGCAGGCCGCAGATGATGAGCGAGTTGATAATGGCCAGCCAGTGGATCTTGGAACCCTCCTCCTGGTTCACAAAGTACAGGTCCCAGCGGCGGCTCCAGTCGACCGAGTTGTCTTCCTGGAAGTAGACTGAGTATGTGTAGGGGATCGACAAGAGGGCACCGTCGTCCTCGTCGATGATCTCGTCAGCCGGATTGGGGCGGTACGACGACTTGGCGTAGCGATTGGGGTCTTCGGTGGAAGTGCGGTTGGGGGCGAGGTAGAGCTCAAAGTTCTGGTCAATGTTGCGCAGGCTGGCCGGGCAGCCGCTCTCGAGCCGGCGGTTGCTGGGGCCAATGCTCTTGCTGTACACCTCGAAGCCGACAATCACCTTGTTGCCACGGTCGCCAGCCCGGCCGGGAGCCTTGCGGTAGCGGAGGACGATGGTGTGGTGGTTGTTCAGGAAGTACCGCGACCGGCCGGAGGACGAGTCGGTGAAGCCCAGCTTGAAACCGGCGGCGTAGTACTTGCGGGTCTTGTCGACGGTGACGAAGCTGGTGGCGCCGGGGAGGTTGTCGACGATCCACTCGACGACGTAGCCGTCGCGAACCATTTCCTTGGCGCGGTTAAGTTCCCTGCGGGAGATTTGGCGCGTGCAGAGGTAGCTGCACTCGTTGTTCTGGCCCATGCTGATGTCGATGTCGGAGGTCGAAATGCGGTCGCCGCGCAGTACCTCGCCGATGTTGAGAGGGATGCTCTGGCCGCTGAGGAGCCCGCCGTAGCGACGCTGACCCGTCGGTGGGCAGACGAATGGAAGGTCAAAATAGGCATACTGCAGTTGTGTGTTGTCAGAGTACACCTTGTTCACAAGCAGGGGAATCTGCTCCTTGTCGCCATAGCTCTTTATAGACCAGCCTGCGAAAGTAGCGTTAGCAAGTGAACGCCGCGGGACAAATGACAACACGGCGCCAAAGCGACAGCCTACCGGGAATATAGAATGCTTCAGCGAGACCACTGCAGACAAGCAGGAGCGGTAGCAACACAACCACTCGCAGAGCGCGCATGTGACGGAGTTCGGTGAGCATGATGGCGGTGTGGCGGCGAGCAACTCGCCAACAAGGACGACTTGATCAAGGTAAGGAGGCAAGGGCCAGGCAGCTAGATGCGCGGGTTGCTGGCCGCGGACAGGTTTGAGAAGAGGTTTGAAGGAATTCGAGATAGGCTTGACGAGTGGATGACGCGGCAATCGTAGAACCGGTACGTTCGAGAGTATGGAAGAAAAAATGAAGACAACTTCGATACCGAGGAGTGGCAGATGCGGGAACGGCGTGTTTCTAACTGCGCCGACGGGAGATGTAATTGTAGTCGAGGACGAGGCGGAGGGAGTGTCGAATGGGCCACGGCTCGTAAAGTTGTCGTCGTGGACTGGAGCTAGATCTGCATGAGGAAGAACAGGAAAGGAAAACGAAACGAAAGGCAGAAGTAAAGGTGAAAAGGACGTCAATCCAAAATGAACGAGCGAGCGGAATCGGTACAGAGCACCAAGGGAAAGAACCAACAAGCCAGTTTGGGCAGCTTACTCCGTACAAAGGGAAGGTGCCGATGGGAAAACTGGAGATCAAAGGGAAGGAGTGTGGGAAGGGGGAAGGGATGCAGGTCTACGGAATGCACGTCAGTTTCCTTCATATGCGGGCCCAGACGGCAAGAGCACAGGGATGGCTGGCCAAGAGGAATCAGCCGTGGGGAAGGCGTTGGTGGCCACGCTTGCCCGTTGAAGCTGTGCGAGGTCCAGGTATCTTTTGCCCGTTTCGACCCTGCCCGGGGCCCTGAAGAGCACTAACAGACCACGATTGATACGCTGGTCTGCCCCTGTTTCGACCTCGTCTAGCCCCAGAACGCGAAAACGCGGCAAGCTAAGAGGCGGGTATGACGCGTTAAGTGGTGCTCCTTTGAAAATATGCACAAACAGCTGTTGCACGACCACAAACCGACCACAAGTTGAAATCAGAAGCCCAGCTTTAAGGATCACGACATCTGTTGAAGGAGTACAAGCTGACAAAAAGTAACATAATAGAGAGGATGCTAGAAACGCACGATAAGGCCGTCCATTTAGCCGACAACGCATGTCTCTCCCGAAGCGGCCGGGTTTCCGGCACCTGGCAATCAGGACAGTGGGAGGAGGATCGAATGCCCGGGAAAAGGCAATATGACACGGGCTGGTCCGTGTCTGTGTCGGAAAAGGGTCCAGTACGTTCCCTTGGGTTGTTGGAGCTGGTGCAATGCCGGAGTTGACAGCCTTTTGCGATCGAGAAGCGTGGGAGGGGGCCGGAACCGGTACCGCGAACTACTACCGTGACATGTGAATTGGACCAATTGAACTCATAACCAACAAGGGCAGAGATACGGCAAGGCTGGACGAATTGGACTGAGGAGCTTCGCTGTAAGTTGGTGATGCCTCGATCTGCTTTGCTAGCTTGGACGTAGTATCTAGAAAATAAAGCAGCATGGCGCGCCAACGGCCAACCAACTGGCAGCTAGGTCCCACCGACATGTGCATTTACACTCCAGACATGTCCAACACGAGTGCTTACAATACAGTCGTAGATGCGGCAAATACTTTCATCGAATCAACTAGGACGTAAGTGAGAACTGTTAAAATAGTCTTAAATCTGTCTAGGCTCTACGTCAGCAATACCTTTTCTGTAGACTGTACGAGAAGCAGGTTCGTATCGGGCCCCGGATGTTTCGTGTAACAAGATATTTCTTAAATTCAGACGTTGACAGGGTATCTTTCCGGAGAAAAGAGAATAAACAAACCGGACAAGTAATTCAAAAGAGAGAGATAGCTCTTAACACTACCAATCTACAAAATTTCCCGTCTAGGATATGACGACATGGCAACGTGTGGCCACGATAGCTATTGCCGGTCAGTTGATTTAGCGCCCCTTCTTTCTTCATTCGCTTCTTGTATATAACGATGGTGGAGATGTAAACACCAAACTTGCATAGGACACTTTCGGCATACGGCACTCAATTACACTTGAAGAACACGAAGGCTGCTGTTGTCGCTGCTCGGTTGGCCTATGAATGGACCAGGGGTCTCTCATGTATGATTTGGCTGCTCACATGGCCGGTTTCTGAGAGCCAGTGATGTAGACGAATTGTCTGGAATTCGGGCTGCAAGTCTCGTCCATGCCAACCCCGTCTATATAAATAGATCCACGATCGAACCTGAAATAAACATATATAAAACCGAGTGTCCGGACGCGGACGCGAACGCTTTTCCTTGATGTGGCGCGCATCATAGATAGTGATCGGCCTCGGTGCAGCCGACGTCAAAGAGCCGCTTCGCTCTAGTTCAGCCTCGCGATTCCTCGTTCAGGTTCCCAGAAATGCAGCTGCCTGGCAGTCGTCCTCGACGTTGGATGGACGTGGGCTAAAACGGCGCTGAACCATTCCACTTTGGGCTGAATGCTGCGAGCGAAAGCACTGTTTGATTCTTCCCTGAGAAATATGGGTGCCTAGCCTGAAGGGGTCGCTTTAGAGTTTTAGCTTGCGTGGCGGCCGCCAGACTGTCCCACAAGGCATATGGGCTTAAAGCCGGCTTTGATAGCGGTCGCTGCTGGAGTCCTCAGAGACCACTGGGAGGAGCAAAAGGGTGTCCGCGGGCTGCGCCTCTGCTTCAACTGGGTTGAATCAGCTGTTATCTCGAGTCGCTCTATCCGATTCGCCTGTGTGTTTCTACATAACGAACGCCAGCTCCGTTTTTGTTGCTTCTTTCCATTGTTGGTTTTGTCCCACGATACCTCCTTCTTTCCCACAACGAAAACAGCAATTGCAGAGGAAGGAGCGAGCGTGATTGAAGGAGTTTCGACGAAAGAACTACGAACAGACGCGGAAGCCACGACGGAGCACATCGTTGCACAAAACCACCGAGTGCCCCTCACCTGAGCGGCCCAGTTCTCTGAGCTGCCTCTCCTTGCTTTTCCTTCACCAGCAAGACACTTGGAAAACCAACCAAAGAACAATGCCTTCATTACGGTCTGCCAGCACCGAAAAGGGCCGGCTTGCAGAGCACTACAACGGCCTGGCTGCTGTGAACCACCAAGATGACGACGCCATCGGCGGTCCTGTCCGCAGCGAGTCCCTTATCGGTGTGGAGAGCGACACAGATGACGAGACAACGACTCGAGGAGGGCCGTCTTCGTCTTCGGGGCCGGCCGACCACGCGCCACCGATTTACTCGGGGCCCGCATCACCCGCGCACGAGGCTGCCCTCGAACGGCAAGATGGCAGTGCTGCCGCCGCAGCCGTCGTGGCGGCCAAGAAACGCCCCTTTCCTCGATACCCGGGCCTGCCGTACGTCGACTACCGCGTCTACTCGCCGCCACTCTTCGATCTGTCTCTCGACAAGACTGTCCTCAAGTCGTCCGCGCCCTACCTGTCGGCCACCGCATCGGCCCTCGCCAACCTCATCCGCACGCAGGCCACTGTTCCGCCGAAGCCGTTGATTCACATCCAGGGCACCCGCGGCAGCAAAGTGGACTTTTCCGTCAAGGCCAATCTCATGCACCTGCTCCTGTCCGAGGACCCGCGGCGGCGGATGAACTACGTGCGCTGCGTCGGCCGCGGCGAGCTGGCCTTGCGCGGCGGCAACGCCAACAAGCCGTCGGCCCAACCCGACATCGAGAGCAGCGATGCCGGCAGCGCCATAGACGCCTGGTGCCGGCGCTTTGTGGAGGACCAGTCGTCCGTCAAGTCCTTTGTCTTTGAGCGGCAGGTCGCCAACATGGACATTGGCTGGCTCGAGGGCCAGATTCGCAGCCTCGTGGCCACGACGGGCTACAAGGGCGTCGTCACTGTGACCTTCCCCGTGACGCATGCGCGGGTGATTGTGCAGAACCCCGACAAAGTCAACAAGTTCTTTACGTCCGTTGCCACTCTCTTCACCGGCAAGAGCACCTACGAAGTTGTCAAGGCCGTGTGGCCGTTTGCAACGCACAAGGCCGGCGACCCAGCTCGCAAGTTTGCTGTCCAGAGCGAGGAGATGTGGTGGAAGGAGTGGCGCGACCCGATCCGCTACGCGATCAGCACGAAGCGCACCGGCTGGGTGACGAATGAGGACAAGCTGGAGGCGCTCATGGAGGGCGTCGGCCGCAACATCACGACGGTTGAATGGGGTAGCGAGTACAGCTGAAATCCCGGCGGCTTCGACCTCTGCTGTTTGTCAGGCATGTGGACTTGCAACTTAATTATTGGTTTTTGGTATTTTCGCTTGTCATCTGTGCGATTGGTAAAGAATTGGATATCGCGGCACATCACCATTCTTAGCGACGGAGTTGGTTCATAATATATTGGATAATATTTGCATTTCATGTTTTATTCCGATGCGGACCTTTTTGTTTTCATTCGATTTGCCTCTGCTTTTTTGTCAAAGTACAACCGTTGCTGAGAACAGAAACGCTGTGTTGGCAACTAACTACAAGGCTGCGCCACGACCCATTTTCCGCAACATCCTGGACGAACTCCTCTGTCGACCACTCGACTCCCACATCCCTGCACGATTCGTGCTTAGCCACGCTCTAATCGTTCAACCCCATGCCTTTGACTCACACATTCTGCCCCGTCTCGGCTGCAGTATTCGAATGTGTGCTAACTCGTCGCTCTCTCCAGCACACTGCGCGAGGGATTTGCCTCCTTGAGTCACTGTCCGGCCCCAGCGCCAGCCACTACAATGTTTAACAAGCAAGACGAATGAAAATGCCACAGCTCTGAATCCAACGCCGATTGCAGCCTTGTCCTCAAAAGGCACATTTTCGGGAGCTAGTGCATCTGTGGAGAAGCTGCACGATGCAGCTTCAGGGGACCGTCTGCCCGACGATCTCAGTTTCGTGATGCCAAGCGGCTCTGGCTTCAGTCTCGTATAAGTAGGCTGTCCTGCATTTGGCCCGGACTGAGATATGATAGCTGCGATCATCAAGAAGAAAAAGAAAACGATCTCTCACGAACAAATTCACAAGCGGTTTCACTTGTATTTTCATTTGCAGTGTTCACTTTCACTTTCACTTTCTTTTCTTAACCTCTTCCCCTTATACTGCGTCCCAATTTCGCATCAACAAGTTTTACTGGCCAATCATGGCGAATTTAGAGTCTGACTCACAGGGCATGTCGTTTACCCTGAATTCACACGCCACGGCGTTGTGTTTTATTCCACCAGAGAGCGAGTGGCCACCGGTTGATCGTCTTCGCACTCTTTACGACAAGGCTGCCCGCAAGTGGCCTCCCCATGTCAACCTTGTCTACCCTTTTGTGCAGCCCGAAAGTCTTGATGCTGCCTCGCAACGCATTCAGTCCTTTTTGAAAGATGAACCAGAAGACCCCATCCACTTTCGTCTTAACACAGCCGGCGTATTTGCCCAGCGCTATGAGAAGACCCTCCACCTGAAAGATGGCGACGAAGGCAGTTGCATTGAGACTCTGCGCCATCTGCGCTTCCGGATCGTAAAGGCCCTGGCAGGAGGTGATGCGGCCAAGGAAGACTACGATTCTAACAGCTACCGGATGCACATGACCGTGGCACAGAGCAACAACAGCGCATCAGCGAACTACACGGCTGCGGCCGAGACAGACGTTGCTGCCGGCGCAGCCGCCACGCCGGACGACACACATGGCCATGCGCACCGCTTCTTGCTGCATAAGGTCGAGCGAGTGCCACCCGTCACATGGACGGCCGACCGGCTGCACATTGTTTTGCGCGAGCGGCTCACAAAGACACGAGGCAATCGTAGGGATGCGGAGGTCGTCGCCACATCAAGCCGGATGCGCTTATGGGGCGTCATCTACTTGGATGACGGGCGGATCGAGAAGCTCAGCCCGACACAGACGTTTTACGACGAGTTGCCGTTCGACGCAGACAGAACATCCGGGGACGTTGAGACGGACGAAACGGGCAACGTGTACGCAGATCAGGAGCGTGACAGCGAGCTGCCCGCCTTCCAGTGTGTCACGTTTGCTCCAGAAGACAACGAATGGATCCGCTGCTCGGATGAGCACGACCTTTACACCTCGCTTGCCTCCGTTTCACCCACCCCCGGCGCGCTCTCGGTCGCCACATACAATGTCCTGGGCGAATTCGAGTGGCCACCTGTGGAAGACCGTTTCCCGCTTTTGATTAAGAACTTGCTGGCCACCAATGCTACGGCGGACATGCTGGTCTTGCAAGAAGTGACGGACCACTTTCTCACCGCTCTGCTCGGCGACGACGGCATACGGTCTGCGTATCCCTTTGCCTCCCACGGTCCTCCAGACCAGGAAGACATGGAACCGCTGCCGAGTCTGCTGAACATGGTCGTGCTGAGCCGGCGACCGTTTGCCTGGTCGTGGTTGGGCCTCCACCGAGCTCACAAAGGCGCATTAATTGCACGATTCGATCGAGAGGACGGCGACGTAGAAGATGATAACGACGACGAGGACAGGGACGAGGACGGCAAGAAGTACGGCCTCGTTTTGGCCACGGTCCATCTCACCCACGGCCTCACCAACGGCTCGGTCGCCAGCAAGCGCGCCGAGCTGCAGCGGTTATTTGGCCATTTGGAGCGGTACTACCCGTCTCATCGCGCTGATGCGGTTGTGGTTGCGGGTGACCTCAATATCCACTCCTCGTCCTTTGCCATAGAGGCGGCCATTCGCCGCAAAGGCATCTCAGCACAGACCGCGCGGTACGTCGAGACTGGATTCGACGAGCTGTTTGCCCAATACGGCTTCACCGACACATATTGCGCGACACAGACGCTCAGCAATATCCATGGCCAAGACGACGAAAGGCCCGCGTCGGATGAAGCGAAGCACGATCTGCGGCACGACAACGGCGATATTCTCCTGTATGACGGCGAAGAGGGTGCGACATACAACCCGTTCACAAACGCGCTTGCGGCTCGAATTGTTGGCAGTGGTCTCAATACGCGGCCGGAACGCTTCGACCGTATCTTGGTTCGTGGCGGTGCCAAAGACTACATGAACGAGCATGACGGCGACGGCCAGGAGGACGAATATGGCCGAAGCCAGTATCGTATTGCTGGCTACAACTCGTTTGGATTCCCTTCCGCCAGCATGGACCACAGCTCTGCGAGTGATTACGCAAGCGACCACTGGGGCATCCGCTGCTCCTTTGAGCCTGCTGGCGATGAAGACGAGGAGGGCGACGATGATACCGCAGCCACGACACTGGCCATCGCCAAAGAGGCTGTCGAGGCCGAAGCCGAACGGCCAGATATTTCCGCTGATATAGAGAAGCTGATTGTACCTGTTCTGCCCCTCCGGACTCCTGCTGGACCTCTCGTCGATGGCGGTACTGCCGCTGTCACGTCTGCACTCACGAAGCTCGATGTCATCCCGTCAGACGACGAAATTTCCCGCCGGAAGGCCGCCTTCGACCGCCTCAAGGCTATCATTCTGGACGAGGAGGCTGGCATAGAGCCTGCAAAAGCCAACGCCAGGTCCCGTCAGCTGGTTGTTGTTGCCGTTGGGTCCTACGGCCTCGGTGTCTGGACCCCGTCCTCCGACATGGACTGTCTCTGCATCGGCCCGTTTGGCTCACAGACTTTCTTTGCTTTGGCTACACAGAGGCTGCGAGCGGCTGGTATCGCTTCCGCTGGTGCAGGCGGCGATGCAGCGGACGCCGTCAAGATTATCCGCCGTGTTCGTGCTCACACCGGCACGATGCTGGAGCTCGAGATCAACGGCATCCGTATGGACCTCCAGTACTGCGGTGCCGCCGTCATCGCTGAGACCTGGCCTGCCGTACTCGTGCTGCCGCAAACGCACCCCGTTTTTGCACTTTCGCCTCAGACACTGTCCAAGCTCAAGGCAGCTCGCGACCTCTACTATTTTCGCAAATCGTTCCCAGACATGGCCGCCGACACTGCAAAAATCTGCTCAGCCAGCAACTTCCGCACTGCCCACCGTGCCATCAAGACCTGGGCACGCGCCCGGGGCCTGTATGCCGCACGCTTTGGCTACCTCGGCGGTATCCAGATCGCGCTCCTCCTGGCGCGCGTTATGAAGCTGATGCAGCGTGCAGTCGACAAGGCTACGGAGGACGTTGGTGATGCCGCTTCCGACAATGCAGAGGAGTACACTGTTGCCGATATCCTAGTCACCTTTTTCCAGCACTACGCCGACTTTGACTGGACGACCAAGATGGCGTTCGATCCCTTTTTCCACAACCAAAAGGCGCCGTACGCCCCGTCCAGCCGCGAACCCCTGGCCATTCTCGGCTACCACCGCCCGCAGCTCAACACCAGCATGGCCGCCTCTGTGCCGTCGGTCCGCGTTCTTTCGGACGAATTCAAGCGGGCCGCCAGCCTGTTGCGCGAGGGCAAGGACGGCTTGACGTGGTCTGCCTTCTTTGATGGTGGACGTTCCACGATCCCGCCGGCCTTGCTCGCTGGTCCAGCCGAGTTTGTCCGCGCCTACCGCTCCTACATCAAGCTGGACCTGCAGTACTGGGGGCTGTCGCTGGCGCGCGGATCGTCGTTTGTGGGCTGGCTCGAGTCGCGGTGCGTTCTGCTCTTGGTCGACCTGGCCCGGCGCCTGCCGACTCTGAATGCCCGCATCTGGCCTGGCCGATTTGTTCAGGCGGAAGAGGAGTCTGAAGCGAAGGCAAAGAACACGGACGACGCCGACGAAACCCGCCAGTACCAGGGCTGCTACCTGGTCGGTCTCGACCTTCCGGCGACTATGACGCGTGACGAGCGTCGCATTGCCCTGGGGACGCTGCAAACGATCCTGGCGCACTTTGAGAAGCAGATCCGGCGGGGCGGCGATGGTCACACGAACGCCGGCCACTTTGACCCGCAGTGGCAGTGGATCGATGTGAGCGTTGCCAACCGTGCGGATCTGGGAAATGTAGACCGGCTGCGCCTCGACGACCGTGCTTGGGGCCAGTACACTCCCGGTGACGAGGAGAGCGACGATGACGACGATGAGGAGGAGACGGAGGAGGGAGCGGTGGAGAGCGAGGAGAGCGGCGGCAAGGACGACGGAGAGGTGACGCACAACGAAGATGGCGAGAAAGTCGAGTCCGGCGAGGAGGGCAAAACCAAGAAAGGCAAAGGCGGCAAGAAGAACGCGAAGAAGCTGCCTCTGGCGGTAGCGCACCGTCCCGGGGGCGGCAAGTTCCGCACCGCACAGGATGTCATCAAGCGCCTGCGCTGGGACCCGCACCTTGACCGCAGCGACTTTATCGTGGGCTACGAGGACCGGTTCCTGGGCGCGCGTGAGCGGCCGCTGGAGTCGTGGAAGTCGGAGCAGACGCACGAGGAGTTCATCCCGCAGCACCGGATCCTGTACTTTAAGCGACGCAGCGACGGCGTTGTGGTGTGGGACAGGCGGACACGGAAAGACGACGTGTTCGGGAGTGGTGTGTCAGGAGCTATCTAATGCATGGCATGGTAAATAGCGAATGCGTTGTGTACAATTGTACATTTTGTTCTCGAAAACAAACGTGAATGCATGAATGGACTCGAATCCATTCTGGGGTATCTGCAAATCCTCATGGCTGCCGCAAATCGCCTCGTATGCCGTATTCTGCAACAAAATACAATACAAGAGCCTTTTCAACAACGAATTTTCTTCACAGTTCATTCGCTTGCCTCACCTCTTCCTTGGCAGTCTTCTGTGCCCGAACAGCTGCGCCCTCCCACTCGGCCTCGTACTGCAGCTTATCGCGCCAGTCACTGCCCGTCGCGATAATCTCGTCGACGGGGTAGCGCCGCGCATCGGCCGAGAAATCTTCGACGTGCGGCGGTACATTCTCGTTAAACTGGTCCAGTCCCGCCTCTGGCGGCGGCCGCCGGCCAAGGACCGCCCACAAGTACAATTCGTCGCGACGGCTTGCGTGCTCATCGACAGCACTGGCGTATTCCTCCTCCTTGAGCTCGTCCCGGATGCGGTTCCTGAGGCTGGTCTCGGCCCACGCGGCGGTCGGGTAGCCGTTGGCAGTGTGGTGAATGATTTCGTTGGCCTCTGTCGTCACGCGCTGTTCGGTTGTGGCGGCATCTGTGTCCCTATCTTGGCTTTCGTCGGTGTCGTTGCTGCTGTATTCGTTGCTCTCGTCGGTATCGTCGTAGTCATCAATGTCGCTCAAGCCGTCTTCTTCGCCAAGGCTACCTTCATCTTCATCAAAGCCGAGTGAAGACGGTTTCTGGTCGGCAGCTTCCGGTAAAAGTTCTTTTTCGACTTCGCCGTATGTTGATATTATGTCGCTGTCGTCATCACTACTGCTGTCTTGTGAGCCCTCCTTGTCGTCAGAGCTTCCTTCTGCATTGTTTTCGGAAACATCTGGTGCTGAGCCGGCCGCGGCGGCGGTCCGAATGCCGGAGCTTTGCATATCAGCAAACGGTATGGCCGTTCTCCTCACATTCAAGCCCAGTCGCCGTGGACAGCGTGCCCAGAAGACCTGGCTGTCTTTCTTGAGGCCTAGCGACGCAACGGCTGCACGAACATCTCGGGGTCGCACGAGCTTCTTGACGCTTCGTGGGAGATGTCGCTTCGCCTGGTCGCGTGATCGGCAGAAGTGCATGGCCGTGGCAGCTAGCCGTTGTGTCAGCGCGTACACGAGTGCGTAGAGGTCGTGGAGAGCGGACATGTGCATCGCCGGCAGTGCGTCTCCTAGGCCCATGTAGTTGGCGTCCTCTTCGGTGCCGTTCATGAAGACGCGCTCGGACAGCAGCAGCATGGTCCGCACGTCGAAAAGAGTGAGCATAGGAACCGAGTCGGGATGCATCTGTGCACCCAACTCAGCCATCCGCTCGCCTTGGGGACCGCCGATTGGCATGGGTGACTGGTTGCTGGCCTCGTCGTCACCGGGCATACCGGCCATCTCCAAGGCGGCCTTGGACAGGGCGCGGCAGTTGTCGCCCGTGAGGAGCCACTGTGGACCCCATTTGCGCTGCTCGGCTTTGGCGTCCTGTTGGAATTCGCGCCGTGCAACTGCATCAGCCGTCATTTGAAGGGCGTCGCAGCAGACCTTACCGATTTCGGTTGCCGCTGGGATGTCGGAGAGCAGCGGACGATGAAACGGCGCCCGGGGATCGCGTTTGCGGGCTTGTACATTTTCGTCCAGTACATGCTTGTAGTGGCGCACCTCGATCTCGCTCTTCGACCCCAGGAGACGGGCAGCGATGCCCGGAATATCATCACTGCCAAGGCGGGCTATGGACTCAAAGAATATTTCCTTTTCTTCGGCGGTCCAGACGGTCAATCCAATCTGCGTAGTCGACAGCTTCGTCCGGTCCTCCGCAACGTACTTTCGGCGGGCGTCGTCCATGTCGTCCTCGAGAATCTCAGTGTAAAGCAGATTGACGGAGCTCTTGGCTCGATTTAGCTTCTTGTTTTGCGGTTCATTGTCGTCGACCAGTGGTGTTGAAAACGTGCGCTCACGAGACCGCTTCTGGCCGGCTCTGAACGCGGATGCCGATCCTTCGTCTTCGTTTTCGTCTTCGTCTTCGTCTTCGTCTTCACCTTCACTCTCGCTTTCGCTGCTGCCGTCATGGGCTTCAACATCGCCCATTCTGACGCTGCCGTCCTCTTCCTCCTTGATCCCGGACAGAGCGGGTTCGGGAGAAGGTTCCGAGTCGGACGGCTGGTAATCACTGCTTTCTGACTCTAATTCTCGGCGGGCCCCCACTAAGCCGTCTTCTCTCAAGGGCCATTGCTGCGTGTCGACAAACTCGACGGTCTCTGCCAATTGGTGTTGTAAAAGCCCGTCGTCGTCTTCGTCATCTTCTGGCCGGCTCCTTTCAGTCATGGCCACGCTCCCGGCCCTTGGCCGCAAGGCATATGATGACAAGGGTTTGGCATATGGCTGCCGCGACTGCCCGTCTGCGTTTGGTGTCATCGTTTGCCGTGCACTCCGAGACTGAGAGGGTGACGAAGCTTGAGATGCTATAATGCTATAGCAACAGTGCCTTGCGCCGGGCTATGTCGTTGTTGATCTCCTCCCTTTAAGCCCTATGAGCTGTTTATTATACCGCATGATCGGCCGGTATACCTTGAAAAAAAAAGAGCTCATACACTGTCGGCTATCGCCGCCCGAATAATGTCTTCGCAAGTTGTTCGTAGTCGTCGGATGTGGACTTGAAGACTCTGAGCTGTAGCTTTTAGTGGAGTAGATGACTTAGTGCTTGTTGGTCCCTGAGAGCTGCAAGGTCACAGTGACGTGAATGAGAAAAAGAAGGTCCGTCCACTTTGCGCACGTGATATCGCGTACATCAAAATGTATGTGAGACCAGCTTCGCATTTCGACACCCTCACGACGCGTTGTGATAATTGAACTTGTCGGCAAACGAAATTTAAAGGAGCGCGTATGATGCAATGCTCGGAAAAGGACGCTGGCGGATAGCATGGCGCACCCTGTCATCCATGTCACAGCCAAGACGATGTCGGGGCACAACCGCAACAACCACAGCAGCCAAGGAGCAGCTGTCGAAGATTCTGCTTCGTGATTACCAGGAAGAGTGTATCCAGTCTGTACTGGCCTCGCTCGACAGGGGCCAGAAGCGGCTCGGAGTGTCTCTCGCAACGGGCGCTGGCAAGACGGTCATCTTCACTCAGCTCCTTGACCGCATCCAGGCCGCCTCAGCCGATGCGAACCAGACGCTGATCCTGGCGCACCGACGCGAGCTCGTCGAGCAGGCTGCACGCCACTGCACGCGCGCCTATCCAGACAAGACGGTCGAGATCGAGATGGGATCCCTGCATGCGAGCGGTGTGGCTGACATTACCGTCGCAAGTGTACAGTCCATCACGTCGGGACACCGCATTGCCAAATTCGACCCGTCGCGCTTCAAGCTCGTGCTTGTCGACGAGGCTCACCACATTGTGGCGCCGGGGTATATGCGTGCCCTCGGCCACTTTGGGCTTGCCGACAAGGAGACGTGCCAGCAGCCCGGCACACCAGCTCTTGTCGGTGTCTCGGCCACCTTTTCGCGTTTCGACGGTCTGGCTCTTGGCGCCGCCATAGACGAGATCGTCTACCACAAGGACTATCTCGATATGATTGGTGATGGCTGGCTGTCTAATGTCATCTTCACGACGGTCGAGTCGACGGCCGATCTGTCTCGCGTGCGCAGCGGTCTTGGCAAAGACTTTCAGGCTGGAGACTTGTCGCGGGCTGTCAATACGGAACAGGTCAACGAGATCACAGTCCGCACGTGGCTTGCCAAGTCGGCAGCGACAGAGACGGCGCCGGCGCGGAAATCGACGCTCGTCTTTTGTGTGGACCTCAACCACGTCGCGGACCTGACAAACACATTTCGCAAACACGGCATCGATGCTCAGTTTGTGACGGGCGACACCGATAAGAGAGAGCGTGGCAGCCGACTCGAGGCCTTCAAGCGAGGTGACTTTCCTGTGCTGGTGAATTGTGGCGTCTTTACCGAGGGCACCGACATGCCAGGCGTGGACTGCGTCATTTTGGCACGGCCGACCAAGTCCCGAAACCTGCTGGTCCAGATGATCGGTCGCGGTATGCGGCTCCACAAAGGCAAAACAAACTGCCATGTCATTGACATGGTGTCGAGTCTGGAGACCGGTATTGTCACGACGCCGACCCTGTTCGGCCTTGACCCTGGCGAGCTGCTGTCCGGTGCCTCGGTGGAAGAAATGGCCGCCATAAAAGAACAGAGAGAGGAAGAGGCTGCGCGAGATACCGCCGCGGATCGAGGAGGGTTTGCTCGCAGCTCGTCGGCGTCCAACGTCCCAATCAAGAATGTCAGTTTCACCGAGTACACTTCCGTGCTGGATCTTATTTCGGACACATCAGGCGAGAGGCACATCCGAGCAATCAGTGAGCATTCTTGGGTGCAGGTGGGCAAGGACCGCCATGTGCTCTGCGGGCCAACAGGCACGTATCTGCGCATTGAGAGACTGGGCGGCGAGGTAGACGGTACACCGGATGGCCTTGCTGATCCTGACGATATTGAATATGCCATGGCGATGAAGCATGGCAAGAAGGGCAGCAAGGAGGAGTGCCAGTTTCGCGTTGTCGAAGTGCGCGCTCTGCCTGCTGGATTGTCCAAGTCACCGTTTGCTGCACCACGAGAAGTATGTCGCGGTGTGACATTTTCTGATGCTGTGCATGGCGCAGACAACTATGCCTCCAAGATATTCCCTCGAGCGTTTATCCATCGATACCAAAACTGGCGCAAGGGCCCTCCGACGCAAGGGCAGTTGGACTTTGTCAACAAGATTCGGGGGAAAGGCGAGGAGAAGCTGACTGCCGAGGACATTGACAAAGGAACGGCCTCGGACATGATTACAAAAATCAAGCATGGCGCGCGGGGTCGATTTGCGGACATCGATGCTGGCCGTCGGCGCAAGGAGAAGAAAGAATCCGCACAAGAACGCGAAAGGATCCAGAAGCAGCGTGAGCAAGTCACAGTCGGCCCATTGGCAGCATAAGTATTGATACCACTCACTTGAATTAGCTATAAATGCATTCCACACCTCCCTCCCACAACCCAAAATAAAGGGGGAAAATCTTGCGCGGAACGCCTGTCACCATTTAAACTTGCAGATGCTGGATGTGATGTGACGTGGGTGTGCAAGTGGCTTGAATTTCCTCAGTCGAGTTGCACCTATAGGACGGAAGCCCTTCGGCAGCCGATAATTGCCTGGGGCTTCCCAACGTCTACTATCGTATCCTTGCGCGCCTTGATAAAGTCGAATTTTTGCTGGTCGACGTATCTGGACGATTGGGAGTCTCCTACTGAATCTGGTATCGGACATGACGAGAGAAACTGGCCGAGTACTTCCTTCTCGCTGACCTGTTGTGTATCCTTTTCGTGTTTTGGACCCTTTCCCAGGTCAACTGGCTGGACCCCGCCGGAAGGGATAGCTTGGTCAACGTCTTTGAGCCTCACAACAGCAGGTATGATGAGTCCCCTCGGCTTCCAGGTTAAATATTTCTCACGTCTCTTAAACAGAGCCGTCTCCGACGCAGATTCTCGAAACCACAGATGCTTTGCTGCATCATCAGCAGTTGGCCTGTCTCGGGGCTTGAGACTCAGGCACGAAAGGATGAAATCAACTCCGTGCTGTGAGATGGCCCCATTTTCTTTACCAGAACGCCCAGCATTGACATTTACCACCATATTCTCGATTTCTTTGGCGCACGAGTTTTCGAATGGTGTGATGGCGACGGTATCGTAGCCTACCAGCAACTGTAAAGTGAGCACACCGACTGCCCAGATATCAACGGCAACACCGTGCGGGCCCCCATCTATTTGAGCTTCTCTAAAGAGGTCAGCATAAGATTTTTGCTCTAGGCATATGGCTGTGGAAACAACGTACGGTGCTCGACAGATTTCACTTCCTACATCGGACATCATTCTACCAAGGCTTGTGACACCGGCACACCCAAAATCAGCGAGCGCGATACGATGCTCCAGGTGTACGCTCGACGAACATAAAATGTTCTCTACCTTGATATCGCGATGCGCGACTCCTTTGGAATGGAGGTATCCGACTGCACGAAGAAGTTGAAGGACGATCCACTTGATTTCCAGAGCCGGGATCGACCTCTCACGCTCCAAGAGCGAGTATAGATCACCACCAGTGGCCAGATCACCAAATGTGAACCTGTTATGTCAGCAACGAGTAGCTAACTTACAATGTCAAGGATAATTGAGTCCTTACATAGTATTCTTCGTGTAAAAGGCACGTTGAAACGCAACGATGTTTGGCTGTCGCGAAGGTTAGTTACAGATGCCAGGATGCGTTTAAGGCGGTTACTTGACATACGTGATCAAGCTGGCTCCAGATGGACATTTCTCTCTGGATGCGATCGGAGACATCTCCCCAGATTCCTTTGAGGTACGGAAAATCGTGTATTTTACACACCACCTGCTGGTTTGTCTTGACGTTCATAGCCATGTGCACAGTAGAAAAAGAGCCGTTGCCAAGAATTGTGTCCTTGATGAGATATTGATCTGCAAATTGCTGTATCGAGGCAGTTAGTTCTTGCTGTCTTCCCTGTTCCCTGTTTCTTTCTCTCTTTCGTTTTTTTTATAAAAAAAATTTCAAAGAAGATATGTGAACTTACCAAAGCCTCTTGCTGTTGAAGTCGACTCAGCGCGGTCTCTTCATCTTTTGAAACAGGATAGGCACAGAGTCGAAGTGAGCAAGGCCCAGCTGAGACGACGTCACCGTCTTCTAGAATCCAACCGGCGGTCACAAATGGTTTCTGGCCGATAAGCTGGCCGTTGACAAACGTTCCGAAAGTGGACTGACAGTCGCGAACATAGATCAAGGGCCGGTACTGCTCCGATTTATCAAACAGGACTGAGTAGATCTCGCAGTGGATTGATGAGACGGCTTTGCATTGGAACCGGAGATTACTGAGTCGTCAGAGGTTGAAGGGTGCGAAACGATTCCCACGGGAAGCCCAATGACTGTTGACTTACCATGCCTTTGTATCTCTTCCAATTGTAATGACCTGATTCTTGAAGAAAGGTACCCTGACAACTGTTTTTCGAGTACATGTTCTCAGTTAGTTATTGCCCTTCCCACACGACGAGAGGCAAGCATATTACCGACTTTGCTTGAACTCGCCGAGAGGAGCACTTTCGATTTCGAGCCATGCCAGCGGGATGCACGGCTCTACATCTGTGCCAGATGGTTGTCCCTCGCCGTAGGATGCCACCGAGGGCGTGTATTCGATGGAGTATGACTCGGCCATGGCATGGAGATGTGTGAGATGCAGCTACATGTTATCTTTATGCAAACGACACAAATAACAGGAAGGGATTCAGGGGTAGTCACGACGTCTTACGCGTTACCTATGAGCGTCTGGCTAATCTCAAAGGGAAGGAACGTGGCCGTTCTTTCCCTAACTGGCCCAGGGTCTACGGAGCAGGCAGGAGCGATCATGATGCGACAATGCCCGATGCAGCCCTCCGCAAAATCAAGGGGACAACGGCATGTAATATTAATATTGAGTTTACAGATCAAAAGACGATACATTTTACCTACAGCCTGTTCTTGAAGTTGAAATGCTGCGGCTACTTTGGCTTTTTTGTCACGGGGGAAAGACTGGTGTGGCTACACAAGGTTGAGACAGAGCTGTCAGATTCTGTAGCAAAAAGGCCGGCCCAGTGCAGCTAAGTTCTGACAGAGCTTCTTCTGAGCTTCGATTGGAGTCTTGGACTTCAATTGAGCTTCAGTAGAGCTTGCGTGGGCAAGCTTTTCGACATTCGTGTGTTGAGCTGCGCACACTAAACTTGCTGTTACGTCTTAAAATGGGTCGCACTGAAATATGCCGTAAAATAATACGTCTCGTGGATACACACCCACTTCACAAAAAATCTGTCACGACTGTTTCGTCCAGCAGCTTATTTTTCGAAGCAAACTCTTTCAATTGTGTTATCTTGTCTTGTCGGCTAGGTTTTCATGTCCCCACGAAGTGGTAGGCAGAGGAAATGGACAGTGTCTCGGCGAGAAAGAACAAAGCTTCGATACGGTAGCGACCCGGTGTTTAAACACTTCCTTCGTTCCCTTGTGAGAGCTCTGGGAATCACGACTTTCTTCCAAAATTGTCCCAAAAAGTTTCGATCAGATCCGGCAAGAAATCCACCTCAGAAAAAAACGTTCCTTTCCCCCCATCCATTGTCCCGTTTGTAAGCACAGCACCAGCGGTCTTCCTCCGTTTAGTTGCTCCGTAAAATGCAAGGTCGAATTCCGAGTTCATGATGAAGTGCGGTGTGTTCGCTTGCGGTAGCAGCGGTTCGAAGTTTGCTTGTTGTGTGCCGGAAGAGGACGGAAAAAAAGAAGTACAGGCTTCTCTGGCGCCAAATTGTCGAAGAGTGCTTAGCAGTAAATGCAGTCGCCCTCTTCATTGGAGTGAAGCTGCGGAGCTGACAAGAAGTCGTGTCGAGGGAAGTTGTTTATTTGCTGTCGCGTGTGTTAGCACTAGCTCTTCAGAAATACAGCGACATCGAAAAGGTCGGCATTTGAATGAAAAAAGGGACGTATAACTTACGATCTGGCCCGCATCTTTCTCCGCTTACGCTTGAGACGACGAACGCGCTTCTTCCTCCACTTGGCTCTCATCTTGAACTATCTGTAAAGGTGGCGGTCAGCTTTGAAGCTCTCAAGAAATATTTTTGCCTGAACGGGCTGCTCGTGGCAGGTGAAAACGAGGTCGAGCGCCTGGTAAAGGGGGTGCCGGGGAGCTCAAGTGCATTTCGAAGCCATCTGGAGTCGCAATTGAGGGCGTGGTACTCACTGGTTCTTGGATGAGAAAATTGTTGGTGTTGTGGTTTGGTTGAGAAGGGAGGAGAGAAGGTTTCGAGAAGATCGAAGGAGGGGACATAAAGTAACTATCGTTATTCAGGTCCTGGGTGACAGAAACTATGGTGTGTGCCCTAAAACCGCACCGAGAGTTAATCCGCCGGATCCCCGCACCCCTATGACATCAAGCGTTGCTGGGTGTGTCATGCCACAATACAGTGTATAGAAACGAGCAAGGTGCATACTCTGCACTGTACACAGCTCGGTTCCCGTGATCGGTCATGTGCTGTAAAAATTTTGGTTTGAGATCCAAATTCACCGCCTTTTTTTGTTCAGCATTCTGCCGTCTTTTCGCTCTCAACTCGAATTTTGCGTGGAGAGCAACGAAATTTTCGAGCTAATAAAATCTCTGGGATGTTTTCATAGGGACTTGTTACGCCGGCGACATTCACTGTTGGGAGACAATACTCAACGTTAAAGCACGCAGCGTAAGTCAATGTCTTCACTCGTGCAGACCAACGCAATGTCAGTCGAAGGACTCAAGAAGCGGAAGAGAGATGGCGAGGCCAAAACAAAGAAGAAGGTCTCGATACAAGAGCCGTCACGACAATTGGGAGCATCGGAAATCCGCATCACCAGTGTTGTGCAGCCTCAATTCGCAGCACCAGTAATCGGTATGGTTCACACAACTCTTCGGCCATGTACTTGGAAAATTGCAGGACAGACATGCTAACGGGAGACTTTTATTTCAGCGACAACACCCGGACTTTGCGTCCCCGACGAGCTCCAGTTCGACAGCTTCACAAAAAAATCGTCAAAACCGTCGAAGCGGCAACGAACAACGGGCCCGTCGGCCGAGATGTTGCTGCACACGTCTAGCCACCGTTCCGTCGACTTTACGGCCAAGGAGGACAAGGTTGTCGGTGCCGACTCATCTCTGCAGCATTACATTGGCATCTACGACCCGACCACCGGACAGCTCGAGGTGGTGAACGCAAAGAAGATGGAGATAAGGGGTAACGTGCGGGCCCGGGACGCTACGGACGACCAGATGAAGGGTGTGCCCCTTCGCAAGGTATGCATTTGTTTTGGTCGCTGCTGCGACTACTTGAAATTGCTTCAGACAGGGCAAATATTAACGCATGCTCCTTTCCTCTACAGACCAACTTGGACTTGAAGAACGACCTCGGCCAGACGTTCGGTACGAAAAAGGCGAAGAAGGCTATCCAGTCGGTGGCTGAGAACGCCATTGGCAGCCGGAGACGCAACGCCGACGGATCGTGGATCACAGAAGAGCTGAACGCTGGCGACCGCGTGTTGATGCAGGACATGGCCAATTTCACGTCGACAATGGCCACACGCGACGAGCTGCAGGCTGTTGTTGACAAGGCGAAACCGGTGCCCCGGGGCAACTACGAGGCCGAGGAGATCCAAGACGTGTACGTGCCGAGCCAGATTGTGGGTGCCGACGTGCTGGCGTCCATTCCTGTCCGCGACTGGCAGCAGTTGGCCAAGAACGGCGAAGCAATCGACGTCTTCTCGCGGTTTGTCGCACAACGTGTGGCAACCGTTGCCGCTCGCGACGACGCCCTCGACCACCTTCGCTTGCTGCGGTACATGTACTGGATCATCCTGTACATCCAGGCGGCACGCCCTGGCAAGGAGCGCGGTACCAAGCGCCAGCTGCCCCGTGACAAGCTCAAAGAGATGATGGACGGTGCGCCAGACACCATCATCCAGCACATCCGACAGCGGTTCTCCGACAATGGCACGATCCGCAAATTCCACAACGACCTGCTGATGACGCACTGCTGCGTGTTTGCATGCATCCTCGACAACTATGAGGTTGACACACTGGATCTGCGGGAGGACCTTAAGGTCGAGCAGAAGCAGATGTCGCAGTACTTTTCTGAAATTGGTGCCCGCATCAAGCCTGTCAAGGAGGGCGACAAGACCAAGATCATTGCGAAGCTGAAGCTTCCGCTGCAGTTCCCGAGAAGCGTGCGGCAGCGGGCGAGAAAGTAGGAAATTCGACGACCGGCCTACGCGTAGCAGCATAGTGATGATAGGGCGCGGAGGGGCCGCTGCATTGCGTTATCATTTTTGTTTACAGGGAGTTTTGGCGTCTACAACACATATAGGTGGGTTGACATTTACGTATAGCATGCATTCCAGCCCAGCATTGGGACAAGCGAATGGATAAAGATTTATGATAGAATGGATTTCCATTGGCACTATAGTCCTTCGTAGCCAACCTCTGTTGACAGTTCAGAAGCTGGCTATTGCTGTGAATATGGATGGATTTTGGTGTAGCCGGTTTAGCGGCCTCTGATTGGTCAGTTGCCATTAAGCAAGACCTCACACCTGATAACGTTGATGAGATGTCTGCATTGCATGGCCACCACCTCGTGAAAGGTGCAATCTGAAGACGATTCTGAAGTGTTTACGCGGTTTTGAGATAGCTTGTGTGTTATTTTTGCCAATTTATATCCCGAGTGGTGAAGGACAACGTTACTGGCAATACGTCAAAATGACCAAAAATAAGCGGCGAAAAGCTTCAAAATCGCAGAGTAAGCGGCACGTAAATGCCCAATTTTGCACCCGCAACGGTCACCTCACGACCACCACTCTGGGGCTTCAAAACACCCGAATCACGTCAAAACCTTCCCAGATCGTGCTTTGAGGTGATTTTGGGCGCTTATCTTCCACTTTGAGTTGCATCTCGCCGCGGCATCACCACGACCTCGCCGCGGCCCAAATTCGACTCATCGCCCACCTCGACTTACACGACGCAGCCACCACGCTGCCAAAGCCTCCCAAGCCCAACGCCCTCCACAGACATAAGCGGCCAAGGCTGGCCCCAGCCCTTTTCTGCCGACGGCCTGGCCCTTGAGCCGCATCGGCGCAGCCCCACATAGGTTTGCCGAGCAAATGCGTGTCCAACTCTATTTATTCTGCCCGCTCCGGTAGTAGCCTTGTCCACCCCCTGGCTATCATGAGCCATGACGACAATTCTTTGTTTTTTGCATCCGTCAAAAATCTTTCTTCATCACCACACAACCTTTGCATTTTGATGCCACCGCCCAGCACAACACTGCCTTTGCACCGGCCAGCGCCCAGCATCAATCAATTCGTACGAGCAGCCTCGTTCTTTTTCGATTGACGCATTTCATCCAGACACGCGACATCAATGGCCGCGGGAGGGGGGATGAGTCGGTCATCGCCCCTTGTGTGCCTCACTTTGCGCGTCACGAAGCCCAAAAGAGGGGGGGCGAAGTGAGCCGCAAAAGAGCAGAATGGATGCGGACAATAGCGAGTCGCAAGGCCTCTTGCCTGCGCACGGACCAAGTGCTAAATAGAAGCAAGGGGACAGTAGGCCTCATTCGTTTCTCATTGGCTATTCACGGTTCAGGGGACCCACACTTTTCGCTCGCGACTTCCCACGCTTCCTCGTCTGCCCATTTCCTCTCCTTCCCTCGTTCGCCAGAAAAAAGAAGTCTTTGTGGCGTTGCGCGACATCGAACAGACTCGTGAGGAAGGAGCGAACGCGACGATCGGCTTGCATCCTTTTTCGGCTATCACGTCTTTTCCTCCACTGTCTCCTTGTAACTATCTGGATTTCCCCATTGTGTTCACTCTTCACCCGCACTCTCTTATGAACATCGCCTCATCGCCCCGTCAATTCGTGTTTGTCGACACGCCTGCGTGCACTCACTCACTTCATTCGATCGCATCGGCGTCATTCATCGCCCATTCAATATCGTCCATACTGGCTCTTTCGCATTCACGCAACTGTGTCCGCGTTTCTTTTACGACGAGGACGTAGTTGGACGTCTCCTTTTTCTCGACACCCAACTGTTCCATCTCGACGCGCCCATCGACGCCAGTTTTACCGGCCGTGATTATCAACCAGCTAGCCCCATCTCCCGACACTAGCATCACTACTCTCGCCTCACCTTTCACTCTCATCTCAAATGGCCTTGTTGCGGTAAAGCGCATCGACGAGCTGCAAAGGTCCTACACATCCGCCTTTCCTACCCCAGGCCGCTTGCTTATCTGGGCACCGCTGGCAGGGGCTGCGTTTGATCGTTCACCTTGACTCGACCATCCGAAAATGCCGAGTAAGCGGAAGCGAGATATCCTCGATTTTGATCCGAACAAGTCGGACTCCGAGGACGAGAACTTTGTTCCAGGCGACGACGGCGAGCGTCCGCGCCGCACCAAGAAGAAACAGAAGGCACAGAAAGGGCAACGCACCCCCAACCGACGTCGACAGAACCGCTACCGAGGCTCCGATATCGACGAAGACGACGAGGAGGTTTCTGACGATAGCCTCGGCGAATCCTACGCGTCCGACTCGGACTCGGACGACGACGACGGCGAGCCGGTAACCACGGCCACAGGCCGCCGCGCGCGAAAAGCTGCCGTCAACCACATCAGCTACAAGGAGAGCAGTGAAGACGAGGACGAGATCTCCGACTCGGACCGTGACGACAAGAAAAGACACGTCTCTCCGACCAGAAAGGCCCCTGCCCGACCCTCGCGCATTGTCGTGCTCAAGACCAGCCCTAAGAAACTCCGCGAGCGGCTAAGTGCTGCCACCACTGCACCCATGACGCGCCGCACGCGAGCCACGACCGAGGAGGCGGACGACTTTGTGGAGCTGACGAACTCGGGGCGCCACGCCCAGCCGTCGCGTGCATCACGAAGCAAGAGCCCAGAGGCCTATGCGGCCGGGCGGCAGACGCGTCGTGCATCCAAGGGTCTGAAGAAGCCGCCTGCACCGCCTATCGAGGAGGCAACGCAGGAGGACAGCGTCGTGTTCGGCATGAACGATGACGATGATGACGAAGACGATGAGCCGCTAGCGGGTCTTGGTAGCAAGAGCGGTGCCGACAAGAACCGCGTGCACAGCCAGTCACCGGATAAGATTGTCGGCGACGTTGATGCTGCAGAGGAAGACGAGCTGGCCCTTGATGGCGCCGTACAAGATGAGGATGCCGTTGGCGACGATGACTATGCTGCGCCTGAGGACGCAGACGCAGACATTGAAATGAACGATGACGCTAACGACGAGGAAGCGGATGAGGACGAAGACGACGTGAAGCCGCGCGGACGACGCGTCACAAGACTTTCTCGCAACTCCTTGGCGGCTGCGGCTGATAACGGCGAATTGACAGAAGATGTGGCTGCCGATGCAGGCGACGAAGGTGACCAGAACGAGGTTGTTGGTCGGCGCCTGACTCGGGGATCCCGACTGCGCAAGGCAAAGTCTGTCAAGGAGCAGAGCAGCGACTTTGAACCCATTGACGATGACGGATCCGGTGACGGCGGTATGTCGGACAGCGACGCGTCAGAGAAGAACAACACGCGCGCTACGACCGGTGACGACGACTCCAGCCAAAACTCAAGAGGACGGCGCAGGTCGACCCGCCTGAAGTCAAGCGGCAAACGGAGCCGTCACGAATCCGACGACGAGGACGCCGTGGATCGCGACGAGGTCGCCATGGAGGCCGAAGAGCTCCGCAACAGCTCACGTGCCCGGACCCGCCGCAGACGCCGCTCGCCATCCATCGTTTACGAGGAGACATCCCGCCGGCGCACGACCAAAGTTGTCGACTATAGTATCAAGCCGCTTGACCAGTTTCTCGTCGAGCAGGAAGAGGAGGAGGAGCCCGTCCAGACCCCGGCGCGGCGTCGCAATGCTCGAGGCGGCGCCAATGCATCGTTGTGGCAACGGAATCTCATGTCTACCTTTGGTCCCTTTGGTGGCGGCGGTGGCGAAGGTGCTCTCATCGGCGGACCCTGGGGCACGGGTGCTGCTGGTGGTGTTGATTCGGACAGCAGCGACGACGAGATGAACTTCCGCACGGCCAACCCTGGTGGCGCTGTTGGCGGTGCTGTTGGCATGACGCCCACAACTGGCACAGCACCCGCTGGCTTCGCTGCTCCGCTCAACCTTGAGGCAATCACGGGCGTTGCGGCAAATGCCGGGGTTGGCAAGGTTAAGAACCAAAAAGCGCTTGCCGACGCTGACCCTCTTGGCGTGGACCTCAATGTCGACTTCAGCAAAGTCGGTGGTCTGCAGAACCACATCAACCAGCTCAAGGAGATGGTCACGCTGCCCCTTCTTTACCCGGAGCTGTTCCTGCGCTTCAAAGTGACGCCGCCGCGTGGTGTTCTGTTCCACGGTCCTCCTGGCACTGGTAAAACACTGCTTGCCCGCGCTCTGGCCAACTCCGTCGGTGTTGGCGGTCGCAAGATCACGTTCTACATGCGCAAGGGTGCCGATGCACTGAGCAAATGGGTGGGTGAAGCTGAAAAACAGCTGCGTCTCTTGTTCGAGGAAGCGCGCCGGACACAGCCTAGCATCATCTTCTTTGATGAAATCGACGGTCTCGCGCCTGTTCGCTCAAGCAAACAGGAGCAGATCCACGCTTCGATCGTATCGACCCTGCTTGCCCTGATGGACGGCATGGACGGCCGTGGCCAGGTCATTGTCATCGGCGCGACCAACCGACCCGACAACATCGACCCGGCTCTGCGTCGTCCTGGCCGTTTCGACCGCGAATTCTATTTCCCGCTGCCCGACCTCGACGGCCGTCGCTCCATCATCGACATCCACACCAAGGACTGGGGCCTGCAGGACAACTTCAAGCGGATGCTGGCGGAGAACACCAAGGGCTACGGCGGTGCCGATCTGCGCGCTCTGTGCACCGAGGCTGCGCTCAACGCCATCCAGCGTACTTACCCCCAGATTTACTCGGCACCGGACAAGCTGATTGTCGACCCAGCGAAGATCAACATCCACGCGACCGACTTCATGCTCTCCATGAACCGCATGATTCCCTCGTCGGAGCGGTCGGCGGCCCCTGCTTGGGCCCCGCTCCCCAAGGCGGTTGCACCGCTCCTGTCGGACCAGCTCGACAAGATCAAGAAACTGCTCGACGACGTCATGCCGCGCCGCAAGAAGACGACCGCGCTGGAAGAGGCCATGTACGAGCCGTTCCAGGATGCCGACCACGGCTTTGGCCGCGAGAATATGATCCAAGAGTTTGAGCGGTCACGGACCTTCCGACCTCGGCTGCTGCTCACAGGCACGGGTGGCATGGGCCAGGGCTACCTCGCCGCTGCCATCCTGCACCATTTCGAGGGCGTGCACATCCAAAGCTTCGATCTGCCGATTCTTCTTGGTGATGGACGGGTACGTTGTCCTTTTTTTTTTTTTTTTTTTTTTTTTTTTGTTTCTACTTTCCATTTTGAATCTTGTGTTTTCTTGCGTTCTAATATATGTGTAGCCCCTTGAGCAAGTTATTGTCGGCCTGTTTGTGGAGGTCAAGCGCCACAAGCCAGCCGTGCTCTACATCCCCAATGTCGATTCCTGGTACCACAGCCTGCCGGCCTCGGCCTACATGACTTTTGCGACGATGCTCAAGACCATTCCGCCCAACGACCCCATCCTGGTGCTGGGTACGTGCGAGTGCGAGCGTGATGAGATCCCCGAGTCTGTTCTGCGTGACTTCTTCAGCTACTCGTCCAAGAACCGCTTTGCCCTCGAGAAACCAAGCCGGGTAAACCGCCGCACGTACTTCTTCAACTTCTTAAAGCACGCGACCAAGAATCCCAATGATTTCCCCGACCCGGCGAACCGCAAGAAGCGCGTTCTGGAGGAGCTGCCTGTCGCGCCACCACCGCCACCCAAGGTCAAGACGAAGGAGGAACTCAAGGAAGAACTGCGCAAGGATCACCTCCTGCTGAATTTGCTCAAGGTCCAGCTGCAGCCCATCATGGACCAAATCAAAAAATACAAGAAGTTCCGCCAACCGGTCATTGCCGATACGCAGATCCAGTACCTCTGGCAAGACGCCGACCCCAACTACGTGCAGCCGGACATCCCGACCGACGAGCCGCGGCCCTTTGTCATCTCGCTCGACAGAGACGGCGTCCGCGGTCTGCTTGAGAAGGCCACGAACAAGTTCTACTACAATCTGGATCTGTCGACCATTGAGGAGCGTCTTTCCAACGGGTTCTACGCCCGGCCAAAGGACTTTTACCGCGACGTCGTCTCGCTGGCCAAGGATGCGCGCAACATTGGCGACAAGGAGCGTCTCCTCAAGGCCAACGAGCTGTCGACCAATGTGGAGGTTGATGTTGCTGAAGCGGAGGCGCGTCTGTCTCAAGTGGACTGGGACGGCCTCTACCAACGGCAGTTGAAGCGGGCCAAGGAAGCCGAAGAAAAGGCCTCGAAGAAGAAGGCTGGCCTGGCCATCTTCGGTGCCGCTGCGAGCAGCCTGGAGGACGAGCCGCTGCCCATCATTGGTTCCGACATTTTCCCTCATAGCGGAGGCGCCGCCGAGCCGGCTGGAGAGCAGCAGCAGCAGCAGGCACAAGCACGTTTTGAGCTGAAGACCGTCGGCACTTCGACGCCACCGTCTTCGAATGGCATCCACCCGCACCTGAGCAATGGCAACTCGATCCCGTCTGCGTCCACGTCCAACGGCGAGGATGTTTTGATGACCGGCTCTGACTTGCCTGTACCGCCCCAGTGGCCGCGGCCGTCTGCAGTTGCAACGGGTGGAAACACGCAAGTGTCGCAGGTGTCGGCACTGACGGGCATCCCTGCCGGCATGTCGCCCTCTGCCATTGTCAACGAGGCCTCGACAACCAAGACCTCCGACCCTTCGACCGGCCCGCAGAGCACCCAGGCCACAAACGGCGTGCATACTGGCACCGCCCTGCACGGCAACACCGTCAGCGGTGCGTCAGGCGGTGCCGACGGCGGCGATGGCTCCCAGATCCCCGACACGCAGTCTGTTTTTGGGTCGCTGCCGAGCCAGGCCACATCGAGCAACGAGTGGGTGCACTCGCAGATGCACGCCATGGTCAAGGGCGAGTTTGACGGCAGCAAGTCGGGCCAAGGCGGCGGCGGCGGCGGTGGTGCATCCGACGGACACGGCGGTGGCAGCAGCGGTGGTGCCTTCTCGTCGCCGTCGCAGGCGCAGGCGCCCACGTCGCAGCAGTCGCCAGTGCAGCCCCTCGGCCCGCCGCCCCCTCCGTCCCAGCAGCAGGTGCAGCAGAGCGCCAGCCGGCTCTCGTCACAAGGCTTCCCGATTAGCGTGCCGGACGCCAACCTGGACCCGCTCCTCGACACGATTCTCGACCGCACGTCGGGCTGCACGGTGGACCAGCTCGAGCAGATCAGCCGCGAGATCATGGACTACATTTGGACGTCGCGCCACGAGCGGAACCGGTCTCGCGTCATCAACAACCTTAGCAAGGTGTTCAACAGCACGATGGCGGACATGGAACAGGTGCAGGGAGGTCTGACGTCGTCGTTCAGCCAGGACCAGTAAAGGAGATACGAGCTGTCTGTTGTCTTTCCCGCGCCAGTCCGGCCTTCCGTACTCACCATGAAAATTACGTCTGATTTATTACGCGTTGGTTGCGGCTTCGTGCTACTGTTGTTATTTGTTTGTTTTTCGTCTGGTTTCAGACAAAAGGTTGGGAGCGCGGTTTGGAAATTCGGAATGGGCTGTATTGTTTGCGCGAGGGGATTGAGCCGGCTCTGTTGCACGGAGCGGGTGGTATAGACGGGCTTATTGCTTGGCTTCTTCTGGCCCTGCATCGCCTTTGTTGTTGTGCCCTCTGACCCCCATTCTCATATTGTTTTATCTCATCGTTTCTTGGTTTTCCGTGTTTTCTGGTTTCCTTGTCTGCTTGCCTCTTGCCATTGCTACATTCACACGGGCATGTACAATATACATTACTTTTTATAACATACGATCAGTGCAAAATACACATGCAATTCACATATAAGGCATGAGACTGCGTTGCACAGGTCACTATTGAAATAGAAACCCTATTTCGTATTTCGTATTTCGTACTTTGTAAAGCCGTGTTTGTAGGTGGTATGGAGGTAAAGACTGCGTGTATCATCAATGAGTGTTCGTATCACATCCTCGTCTTTTGAACGAAAGAAAACGAATAAGAGACAAATTGCACCTATCCCTCCTGTTTCATCCCGTCGACATATGCTGCTTTTAGGCGCACTGCTCAATGAATGAAAAGATGTGGAAAAAGTGAAAGAAGTAAAAACCGTGCGCAGAAAACCAAAAACAGAAAACTTGCAAGGTATAATAAAAACCGGCAGTGTTCTCTGGCGAGAAATAGACATAAAATCTTAAAAAGGGAAGAGAGCGACGGAACCAAATGCTTGTTCCTCTTCCCGTACAGGTAGGGTTTTCTTTTTGTTTCTTTTTATCCCCCATTCCTCCAAGTCCGCCGTGCCATGTTATGAGTTCCCTAATTTTGTCGTGTTCCCGTCATTTGTTTGTGTGCCTCGTATGTTTTTTCCTTGATCTCGCGATGGTGAGTCGGAGATGCCCTATAGCCCTATAACGCCCAAATACCATTAAACAAGAGAAAACAATTCTAGGACGCCGCCTTTTCCAGTCATCACAAATACGTTATAGAAGAGCTCCTTAAAACGCAAAATATCAAATACGCAAAAAGGAAAAAGAAAAAGAAAAAAAGAGAGGAGGAGCGAGAGGAGATTAGTCCCGCAGGGTGACCAGCAGGGACGAGCAGAAGAGCAGCTCAAACGACCGCGAGTCAGTCGGCGAGAAGACGGGGTGATCGTGCTTGGCCACAACCTCGTCGTCTATTTTTGTTATTTTGTTAGCTGGTGGACGATACCCAGAGACGTTCGTGACAGGGCGGGCAAGGGGCTTACAGTTCAGCTTGATGGTTTCGAAAAAGGTACGGACGACCGGGTCGGTCTCCTCCGTGACCAGCATGCCGTCGTTGGCACGACAAAAGGTGCGCGGCAGGGCCTTGCGGATGCTCAGGAGCATGCGCAGCAGGTCGGCAATGACGTAGCCCTGCTGGGCAAAATCGTGCGGCGTGCGCTCGAGCGGCCACATCTCGCGCAGCGTCTCCTGGTCCCAGGCCTTGAAGCCCCAGGTGGACTTTTCGACGCAGTTGAGCAGGATCAGCGTCGTGAAGTACATGGTAAAGTCAATCTTGGTCTTGCTGTCCTGCAGCAGACGCTGCATCGTGGTCAGCAGGCTGTTGCTAATAGCTGCCGCCTTGCGCTCGGCCCCAGCAGTCAGCTGCAGGCAGAGCGTCGTATACGTCTCCTGGTCGGTGTCGGCGCGGATCTGGCGCGGCTCCTCGACTTTTCCGGTTTCGTTGCTGCCGTCTTTGCCGTCGGCCGGGTCGTTTGATGCGCCCGTTTCCTTGGCTTTGCCGTTGTTTCCGGGCATCGGCTTGACGCGGATCTGCCACTGGCGCTCACGGTCCAAGATCTCGACGAGGCCCCACAGCTCAATGGCCTTTTTCAAGAGCACGCTGTTCGTCTCCTGGGCCAGGGCGGTGGCAGTCTCCAGCAAGGTGCGGACAAAGAGCGAGGGCTCGCGCTGGATGAACTCGGGCAGCATGTTGCGCATGTAGTACTCCATCTTCAGCGGGACGTCGTCCTTGGCGGTGTCGACCATGACGATCTCGTCTTTCTCCCAGAGGTGCAGTGGCGCAATGGTGGGTGGTGCTGGCGCTGGCGCTGGCGCCGGCGCCGCCTCGACTGCGGGCTCCTTGGCAGGCTCTGTGTCGCCATCGGTGGCGGCTGCAGCCGAATTGTCAGCCGTCGTCTCATCCGAGGCTGTAGCAGCGCCCCCCTCATTGCTGCCAGGCTCGGGTGCGGTCGCTTCAGCACCATCTGCAGGGGTGACATCGCCCGCGGCAGCGGCGGCAGCAGATACAGCAGCAGCAGCAGACACGGCCGCCGCAGCCGCCGCAGCAGCCGCAGCGACATCAGCAGCGCTAGTCGTAGACGATGCGGCAGCGGCAGCAGCAGCAGCAGCGGCAGCAGCGTTGTCGACCGCGCTCGGGTCCTTGGGACCGTTGCTCTGAAACACCTCGAGGGTGACGGAGACGGCTGGGTTGTCGGGGAAGTGCGTGGCCTCAATCATGAGGCCTTTGTTGACGACGTCGACCGTCTCGCGCAGCTGGTTGGCGCGGTGCTGCGCCAGAACAACCTGCACGCCCGCACAGAATATGTCGAGCTGCTCGGTGAACTTGGTGCGCACACAGCCAGAGCGCCAGACGCGCGGCGAGAGGACCTTGCGGCACTGGTCGCAGGGGCTGCCCTTGGAGCAGGTCTTGCGCAGGATGCGGCAGCGTATGCAGGCGCCGATGCGGCGAACCTCCTGGACCTCCTTGCGGCGCGTCGTGTTAAAGCGGGCACGGCCCTGCCTGGGTCGGCCAACCTCGTTTGGGTTGTTCATGTTGAAGCTGATGCGATTGGGGTCGCCGGGGCTGGCGGGCAGCAGGTGGTGGTGGTGGTGGGCGTCCGCCGCCGACGATGGAAAGACGGGCAGCACGACGTTCTCGGCCAGGTACGTGATCTCGCCCCAGGGCTGGCTTGCGGCCACGCTGGCGGCGCCACCACCACCCGTCGTGGCTGTGAGAAGCGCGTCGGGCATGGGCTCATCGCCGTCGACACCGTCGGGTGTCATGACGGCCGTCTCGGCCATGTTGTTGGGGGTGGCATCCACCGGCGTCGTCGCACCAGTGGCCACGGCGCTGTCAACGCCGAGCTTTTCAACGCCCGCACTGGCGGCTGCCATGTCCGACTGCGGCGTGCCGGCGTTGTTCGAGGCCGTGGCCGCGGCGGCCGCAGCAGCTGCCACGGCAGCTGCCGCTGTCGCGGCGACGGGCTCTTCTGCGCGCAGTTGAGGGTCGAGCAAGGAAGGGTTCAGCTGCGCAGAGGCGGCCGCCGCCGCCATAGACAGGTTGGCCTCTTCAAGACGCTTGATCTGGTCAAACGTGATGCCGTCCTGGTCGGCGGCCGCACTGAGCATCTTCTCCACCTCGGCCTGCTGCTGCTGCTGTTGCTGCTGTTGCAACTGCTCCGGAGTCAGCTTCTGGTCTGCGTCCGTGTCCTCCTCCATGGTGTTCGGGTCGGATCGAAGAAGGTCAGAGGGGTCGAAGTGGTTCACCGACGAAGACGAGGCACCGGCCGCGTCGCCGTTCTTCTTGCCTGCTGTCGCGTTCGCATTCGCCCCGTTTGTCGCGTCACCCTCGCCGCCGGGCGCGCGGTCGTCGTGCTTCTCGCTCAGGTCGATCTGGCGCGACACCTCGGCCAGCGTCTCGAGAGCCGTCCAGTCGCGCTGGATGGCGGCGGCGTCCACAGCCGACGTGGAGGGCGAGGACGACACGGCCGCCGCAGCCGCTGCAACGGCCGCCGCCGCTGCCGCTGCCGCCGCCGCATTGTTCGTGCCGTTGCCGTTGTTGCTTGCGGCCAGCAGGTGGTGGTGGTGGGCGTGTGTCTGGCTCGGTCCGCCGTTGGCCGCGGCCAGGCGTGGGCTTGCTGCTGCAGGCCCTGCAGGTGCTGCATGCGGCTGTTTGCCGATCCACGCACACCCCCCTGGCCGCCGCCTCCCGCGCCGCCACCCGCACTCGCCGATGCCGCCGCCGCCGCCGCAATGTGGTGGCTCAGGCCGTTGAGCGAGAGACACGCATTAATCCGGTCGGCTTCGCTGATGGCCGGGCACTTTTTGGAGATGTGTGTCATCAGCGACTCGGCGCGGCCCTTGGGGAACGACTCGCCGCATGCTTTGCACCGGTGCGGATAGCGGTTGCTGTTGTCGGCCAGCCGTGGGCCGCGCTCGAAGAACTGCAGGATAATGGGATTCGGCTTGCGGCCCATTTTGGTCGTGTCAACGCGGCGGACTGTCCAAATCGTCCAATCGTCAGTTGGGTTCCACGACGCGTGGCCCCTGTTTTGTTGTTGTTATGCGTCGACGTGTCTTGTCGTTGCGTCGAGGATCGTCGAGGGTCGAGGGGCTGCGGTGTAGGGGGGGGTTGCGCTGTGCCTCTTGTCGCCTGGCGGTGAGAGACAAAGTGGCTCTCGTTCGTTTTCGATTGTGGATTCGTTTTCGTGGATTCTCTTTTTTTTCGCCTTTGGCGATGGGCGGTGATGGGCGGCAGGTGTAATTTTTTTTCCTTTTTTTTTTGCACACGGCGGGGAGCAAGGGCAGGAGCGAAAACAATAACACGGGCAGGCGCTGTGGACACCCAAAAGACCAGCAGAATGCACACCGAAAGACAAATTCGCCCAAAACGGGAAAGGGCCAAAAAATTCTGCCGCCTGCCGCCACGCGCGATAAGCCCGATAAGGCGCGATAGAGATGTTTCGTGGTGATAAGTTAGGTCACGTGGTGACGGCTGCAGTCGGTGTACGGGGCTTGGCACGGGAGCCACAGAGGAAGGCGCAATTGGCCAAACCCCGCGTGTTTTTCTGCCGGCCCTATTTCGTCTTGGCGACGAGGGGTGCTAGTGCCGAATTGGCGGGGGACGGACGGCAGAAGGGGGAGGATCGAACAGATGGCAAGGCAATTACGACGAGAGAACGAGGGAAAGCACCATGAAACACGCATAAGCACTCCGTCTGCAATGCACTGGACATGCTTCTTTTATCAAGAATACATCTATAATTTTGCACTCCGGATGCCGGCGTCTGCAGACTAGATCTGTTGTACATCGAAACGGCAGATTTTATTGTTTCTTGTAGAGGAGACCAGCGGCGCCCTGGACGCATTAGATGAGACGAAAGATGCTGTATGGATAGAATGGACGTCCAGATGTGACATACCTGGTGCTGGGGGAAGATCAGCGAGTTGGCAATGACGACGTTCTCGGGCCGGGACGCGGCAAAGACGACAACCTCGGCAATGTCTTCGGGCGTCAGAGGGTTGACACCGCTGTCGGTGTTAGCGCTGCCTGGGGACGGGCAATGACAATGTACGAGCATGGGTGATGGGTTAACGCGACGTACGCATAGACGGCATCGGCCTTGGACTTGTCGCCGTAGAAGCGCACGACCGAGAACTCAGTCTCGACCTGGCCCGGGTCGATCTCAATGACACGGATGCGCGTGGAGATGAGCTCTTTGCGCAAGCTCTCGGAGAAGCTGCGGACGGCGGCCTTGGTGGCGCAGTAGATGCTTCCGCCGGGGTAGGGGTCCAGGCCGGCAATGCTGCCAATGTTGATAATGTCGCCGGCGCCGCCGTCGGAGCCGCGCTTGAGGAAGATGGGCAGGACAGCCTGGGTCATGTGGACGAGACCGGTGACGTTGGTGGCGAGCATCACGTCAATGTCCTCCTCGGCGATGTCGGGCGCACGGGCGACGCCTTTGACGAGGCCACTTTGACGGTTAGTGGGTGTGATGGACGAGCAACAAGCTCAGCAAGCTCAGCAAGCTCAGCAAGCTCGGCAGGCGGGCTGGGGAGATGATGTGCCGGACAAAAACGAGCGAAGCGAGGACCAAAAAACGTACGCGTTGTTGACCAAGACATCAATATCGCGCCACTCCTCGGGAAGGCTTTCGACGAAACCGCGCACGGCTTTGCGGTCGCTGACGTCGAGCTGCACGGGCAGGACCTTGACCTTGTCCGCGCCGAGCTCCTTGACGAGGTCGTCGGCAATCTGGCGGAGGGTATCGATGCGGCGCGCCGTCAGAACCAGACGCAAGCCACCGGCAGGCGCAGCAGTGCGGGCAAACTCAAAGGCGCAGCTGCGGCCGATGCCGGAGGAAGCGCCGGTGACGACGACGGTCTTGCCGGCGAGGCGCCTGGCGACGGCGGACATTGTGCTGAAGCTGTGTGTGCGAGGGACAAAGCGACGGGAAACGGTGGTCCTTGCACGAGTGGTCGCGGCAACGGAGCAAGAAGGAGAAACGGGAGCAATGGGCCGAGGGACAGGGGCCGTAAAAGACCGTTTCGCGAATGCGGCAGATGGACGGCAGAGACGAGAGATTGTGCGCGCAGCAGAAGGCAACATAGAGAAGAAAGGGGGAGGGCACGTTTATAAGAAAGAAGAAGGGAAAATACGATACGAGAGCTCACATATGGGCAGCACTTGCGATAGGACGAACGGGGCAATCGCGTTGTATTGATTCGAGGGAAGGCGGGACCCGAGATCGCTGCGGAAATGGCGTATTATTCCCTCCGAGGGCAGGAGAGGCCCGCGCACGAAAACCCCGCGACCTTGATGCAATCGCGCCCCAGTGGTCTGCCCCAAACCCGCCGGGTGCTCTTTCCGCAACGGCCCACACACTAAAGGCCAGTTCCAGGAAGGTACAAAAGGACTCGTCAGAGCCAATGTTAGGTATGCCCAGAAAGGGCGATATTGACTCCAAGCTTCGATTCCGAATGACCAAGCATGAAGGACTGTACGGAACAAGCCAGCGGCTGCGAGAAGAGAGGGTCTAGCTAAACGTCGGGCCATCTACGACTTGGCCGAGCTTCAATGCAGCACCGCATGGAAGCGAAATCCTCGCGACGAACGGCGTCTGCTAGTGATAAATTCCGTGTGGGCTGCAGAAGAGGCGACTTGGAGAAACAGACAAATAAATGATCATGCAAGCAGCTTCGTCTTGTTTTCCGGACTCGACTCTCTCACCAGACCCGGTACTTTTTTACACGCAGTTGGTCGTTGGCTTACGACGATGCTTAGAGTCGGGCTAAGAAACAATAGCCGACGCTTTACTCCGTGTAAGCCGCGCCATTTCGTTATCGCCTTTTTTGTCTCAAAAAGTTGATAATGCGTATTCTTTGCTCCGTTATCTCAACGCCGAAATCCTTTATCAAATATCCCGATATGAAAACGCGCCCTTAAGTAACCCGTTCGCCGTGTCCTCTAATTTCAAACGCCGCCCTGCGATCTGTCGCGGACAGCTGCCCCAAGGTATTGTTCTGTATAAGCCGTTCTAGAACAAAATGAAAACAAAAATAAATGACGAAAACTAAACAAAGGCAACCACTTCAACTCAAACTCAAATCGCTTCTTTGACGCGCCGTCAGGTTGCTCCGACTCGCAGCGCAATGTGGCGGCGCCGGCTTGGCTGTTGCTTGTCGCTGCGACTTGGGCAATCTAGACCGCGGCAGCCTCTTGCTTGGCTGCCTCTTGCTTCGCCCGCTCCTCCAGTGCGGCCAAGAGGGGTTGGCGGTTGCGGGTGTAGGTGCCGCAGGCAACGACAATGCCGACGGCCGAAATGACGGCGCAGATGCGCATGTTTTCCGTAAAAGCCGCATTAAAGACTTGGCGCACCAGCACGGCCGCGGGTGAGTCGCTTGTCAGGTCGGCGGGGACGTCTGTTGTGACCACGGTGCCGAGCTTGGCCAGTTCCTGTCGCGCCAGGATCGCCGACGATGCCGCAATGCCAATGCTGCCACCCAGCACACGGGCTTGGGCGATGACGCCCTGGGACGCCGCATGGTCGCCCGGTGGTGCCTCGGTGGCGGCCAGGACGGTGGTGGTAGATATGCAGAGCCCGAGGCCAAGGCCGATGAAGGGGAGAAAGCCGAGCGCCTTGGCTGGAAGCGTGGCCGAGTCGGACAGTGTCGTCTCGAGCGCGCAGCCAATAACCATGAGGACCCCTCCAACGAGGAGCGTCTCGGTCAGGCGGTTGTTCTTGGCATTCACAAACCCCGTCAGGGCACTGCCAAAAGAGACACCGACTAGCAGGGGAAGCATCATGACGCCCGCCATGAGGCCGCTCTTGCCGTTGACAATCTGCAGGCGCAGGGGAAAGGTAAAAATGACGGAAAAGAGGGGAAAGCCAAGGAGCAGCGTGGTGAGGGCAGCCGCCGCGTAGACATGGTTCCGGAGGAGTTTGAGCGGGAACGCAGGCATGATGTTCGTCCAGCGCTTCTCGACAATGGCTTGCCAGATGAACAGTGCGGCCCAGCAGAAGATGCCCGTGATAAGGGGCACCAGGAAGATGGCCTTGCTCCACTGGTCTGGGTTGACACCGGCATTCTGAAAGGCAAAGGTGACGAGGGCGGCAGCTGCAATCAGCAAAATGGATCCGATGATATCAAGCGACGACCATGGATGCCGCGCTATGGCAGGCAGATACTTTTCGTCGGGCCAAGTAAGAGCAAACACCGCCATGGAAAAGAAGCCAATTGGTCCACTGCACTGTTAGCAGTTGGGAGAGGGAGTGAGGGAGTGAGCAAACAATACGGAAACGAAAAATGACATACTTGATCCAGAAAATCCAGCGCCAGGATGCATAGTTGGTCAACAAGCCGCCCAAAATCGGACCCAGCACGCCTGCCATACCAACAACCACGCCAGCCAGACTGGCAACGTGGCGCTTCAGGTGTATGGGTGACAGCTCGGGCCAGATGATCATGGACAGCGAATACAAGCCGGAGCCGCCGACACCCTGCAGAGCACGCAAGGCAATCAACTGATGCAGCGTTTTGGCAAAGCCGCAGCCGATAGAGAAGCCGAAAAAGATGAGGAAGGCAGCGAGATAGGCGTTGCGGCGACCGACAATATCGGCGATGCGGGCGAATATGACGGCGCAGCTGAGGTAGGCCAAGGTGTAGGCGAGGGCGACCCAGTTGATGAGCTCGATGGAGCCGAGCTCGCGGCCAATGGTGAGCAGACTGGTTGCGACAATGGACGAGTCCAGCATGGCTAAAAAGAGGCCGAGTCCGACACTGTTTCATCAGTAAGGAGCAAAGGCAATGTGGAATAAACAGAAGGGAAAACAAATTACCCTAAACTGAGAGTCCAAAACCGCCAGGCCGCGAGATTGGATAGCGGGAACCCATTGTCGTCACCTTGCAGCGCAGCGGCGGCTGCCTCGATATCGCCGGCTGCTGTTGCTGGGGAACGATGGCTGTCTTCAACAGGCCGGTCTTGCTTCTGTTGACACGATACTTTTTCCGTCTCCAGCTTCGGTGTCGGCACCGTCGAAGCCACCGACTTGACTGAGGTAGTTTCCGCAGCCGTCATGGCAGCAGAATGGCGAGTGGGAAAATTCAAGTGCCCAGCACTGCGGAATAGGTGAGATCCTCGACTTTTGTTGCTCTGGGATCGTGTCCCACTTTCGTCCTTTCGTACTTCCGTCTTAAGGCAGTAACGGCCCTTTCTTTGGCGGTGACGGCGTGGGACGTTCAGACGTGAACTGCTTTGCTCGTTTCCGAGGTGAGACAGGCACCGTACTCGGCGATTGCAGGCCGAACGTCGAAAGACAGTGGCTGTAGAGACGACAGTGGAGACGACAGGAGGGAAACAAAAAAATAAAGGCTGTCAGACACAGAGCGTGGTTTGTGAAAGATGACACGGCAAGAAAAGTGGACGTCTACGAACGTTAGTATTGGTCGATGTTGTACTGCTCGGACAGGAGCAGCTGTCACTGTATTGTGTGGCACCGAGTGCGAGGATAATGAAGGGATGGAAGACGTGAGATGCGTAATCTATTGTTGACGATGTCGTTGCTCTACGATGCAGAAGACATCAGGTCAATATAGAAACAAGAGACGACGAGACGTCGGCACAGGAGAGTAAGGTGGCTCCTGGGCACTGCCGGGCAATTATCTGTCCGTATGTAGGTAGGGCAAATGAATGACGAGCGTCGGGATCCAATGCATGCAGGCTTGCTCCATAGTGGGATGAGATGTGCAAAGGGGCCGCGAGGAAGGCCAAAACACTGAGGAATAAATGGAAGAGAGTCGAGATGCGAAGACGTACCGATTGGGGTGGAGCCTGGCAAGTCGACGTTTCCACCTGGCGGACTAAGCAAGAGGAAAGGAAGCGACGACTAAGAAAAAGATAGCCGCGGCGTCCTTTGGTGGCCGACTTTTGCATCTGAAGAACAGACAGGGTAGGGACGCGTTACGCATGAGGCGCTCCTTCTCCGTTGGGTTTGGGCAGTTGGGTGATCACGGCGAATTGGCTCGTGGCCACATGTTGGCTGTTCCTTCCTCGATGGGAATTGTATGCCTTTGGCAAGCGTGGGATGAGCTCAGCATTTACTCGTTTCTGGAAATTTTGGATGAGGAAGGCGCGACTGTAGCTTGTAGGCGAGGTCGACAATGTTACCTACGACGTACGTGTATCATCTTGTCATGCACTCTATTTCAGTCTCGAGATTATGTTACGATCGATGCACGTGGTGCGCACACATTCGTACGCGGCACGAAGATACACTTCTCTTGAGCCCAGAGGCTACCAGAATGATAGTAATCGTGGGCTGCCACCATGCTGCGTTCGGCGAAGAAAATAGTTGTTTGGGAAGGAAAGACCACGCTAGATTTGGGAGTCGCATACGTGCGTACATCCCATGGCTCGGTCGTGCCTTCCTCAATCGCGTCTAAGTAAGCGTGTAAGTGGTAATTGCCTTTATTTCACGGCTGCTCGTTTGCTCCATGCCCTTCGTCATTTCCTGTTCCGTTTGCACCTGCACTCTTTTTAAGTTTTAAGCGAATGCGAGACCCATTTTGGACACTTGTGGAGAGTTAGTGGGCTAGGTGTGTCCTAGGGCGATTTTTACAGGCCGACTGGAGCTGTTGGCCACAGGACTAGCAGGGAAGGCTGTGCCAAAAGGGGAAATGTAAGCGACAGGGGAAGGAAACGAGAACGATAACGAGCAACTGGGGCAAAGTGAGTGAAGGAAGAACAACATCTTACACAGAACACATTGTGATAGAGATACTATTCCATCCGAAAGGTTTGCAAAATACAGGATAACCGGTGAAAGTGCGACGAATGACGACGAGAATCGAGCGACAATATCCGAGAAGACCATTTAAAGGAAGGAAATGTTGCGAACGGAGAGCACAAGGAGGACAACAGTCTTCTGTAGTACTCTCTTTTCCATACAAACAGAGGACTGTTGTTTTTGCAGCTCTGGTATTGAACTGCTGCAAGAGTCAGTGTGACATACGGTGTGGTGCACAAGCGAAAAAGAGGACGAGTGAAGATCTGGGTCGGTCGTCGGAGCCGATCGGATCTGCTACGTGTCGACCCATCGAACGAGCGTGCTTTGCCGCACCAGTTGACGCCGCCGTGGTGAGTAGTACAGCTTGAGGTTTTCAAAGTTCTTCGCGGTTGTTGGTTGGAAAGTGTCGAGACTCCGAATATGACTACCTAAATACATGCAACCATCATGGCAAAACAGCTGTCACATCCAAGAGCAGCTCTACTTTCTCCTGCAAACTGAATTCCATTATATGGAGTATGACGGCTGTTGAGGGTGGTGGCCGTCCCACTATTGAGTGGTTCCACTGACTGACATACGATACGAACAGGACGTGCAACACGAGTACGGATGACATATTACTCCGCCAAAAATGTACACAATTTCATACTGGGGCGAACAATGTCATGCATTTATAGCACATGCTTTGTACCGACAATGTGTGTAAGACGTATATAAAATATTAAGATGATTGGATATGAGTGAAGAAGAGTCAATGTAAGTGAAATAAAAGCAAATCAAAGTCAGTAAACAAGACGTATGAGCATCAATAAATACATCCCGTCTACCACGTGCGTGATGTAGAGCAAGCCTTATCCGAGCCAACCCACGAAGAGATTGGCTAGTTTACTGGTTGGTTTAGCCATGTACTATGTACAGAAGAGGAACGTGATGTTCGAGAAGCGCGGGATAGGCAACCCTGCAGCATGTATGGCCTTCCAACCGTATGTGCCAAGTACTGGAACCGACGCTTACTCTGTGTTTTAAAATCTCTCCGTTCGATATGCAACCATCACCAATACACCTGGAAAGATATAGTAGAGAGAGCGGTGAATAATAAAAAAGAAAAGGTTGGCATGCACAAGCGACCTCCAATTCACACTGCAGAACTGATAGTCAAGCCTGCCAAAGTTCATGCAATGGCTTCTCGAAACATGAAACAAGAACTCACCGGCCACTTGTATGTATATTTGAGCCAAACAACTCGCTTCTCTGGTAGTCGGTGAATCGGTGCTTTCGCGTTTTCTCCGCCAGAAACACTGACAACACAAACAGCCAACTCAGTGTCGCCTGTGGTTGGACTAAAGTGACTGGACGCTTTGCCGTACACGGGCTGTCTCTGTTTGAATACGTATAAGCGGGTTATTTGAGACCCCTGCGAGCTCCGTGCACATTGCATACCAGGAAACCTTATTTCTGTGTGCAACACGGTCCTTTTTTGTTTTGTTTCAACCGTGTACTCCATGAAGGCTGTTAGAGCCTTATCTCTTTTTGGTCTTTTGGTGTAGTTGCATCATGCCCCTCCATCTCATAAGAGCCCGTGCAGAGCGGCATTGGCGACGTCTACGCTTGGGCATCTGTGCATTGCACGTAATGTTGAAGCTACCAACAAACATTGACCACGGCTAGAAGAAGACAGCAATCCTCCGATGTCTGTTGTTCTCAGCTTCAGGTATTTTCTTAGAGAAAGCCTGAAACACGACATAGTTGCGTTAAGACTTGGCGTTCAACGACGATATGATTTCAGGCCTTCTTTGTGTTTTCTTTTCTTTTTTTTTTTTTCTTTTTTTTTTTCTTCTCGTCACTGGGTCGTTTTCATTCACAGAAATATTATTCAGGTAAATAGGAAGAGGCACATCGGAGCATGAGAGATAAAATAACATATGAAGAGTAGTTCATATTGAAAAAAAAAATCCAGTCTATTCGCCTACCCCGACTTTTGACACCTCGTTTCAGAAGAAGCTCCAGAAATTCATATGAGATCCCCATGTTCTCCACAACATGACGGCCAGGGCAATCGAACGAAACAAGTGCCGGATGAGATCGAAATGAGACATTAATGTACCCTTCCATCGTCGTATGAAAGAGAAGGAACGGAACGGGGTCTGAGACAGACTGAATCTTCCCCGCATCCAGAGAATAATGTGAGGGGCTGGGCGAGAGATGCTTTTACTTTCTTTTTCTTTTCTTTTCTTTTCTTTTTTTTTCTTTTTTTTTTTTGAAAAAAAGTGCGGGGTGCATACAGTGTGGCAGGGGGCCAAAGAGAAGAAAAAATGTATAAGTTATATGACCTCGACATGAGAAACCAGTCGGGCCGTCTTCCCAAATGAACGAGTGAGGTCGGGGAGCGAAAAGAATTATCGACGAATGCGACGCTAGACATTCACGATAAATGTGTGCTCAAACACTGTAATATTTTTAATGTCTTAGCTTATTTTATTTTTGTGCAAGTATATTTCATTATTTTTTAAGCAAGTAACATTGATCGACACTCCAAATGCCATGTGGCTGGGCTGGCAACATCCCTGGTTCTGGTTTGTTTCGTTTCAAAGAGACATGTGCACGATTGTTTTTATGCATCTCGGTGTCGGTGCGCAAATGCGGAACCGGAAGAGGCTTTTTCGGTAGTAGCAACAGACGTATTCTTTCATCACAGGCGGTGACACAAATATCAAAGCCAAAAGTCATTTGACACACTAAGATAACGGCATCTTCTTTTGGGGTACTTTCTCTTCGTCTTCGATTTACCTGAAAAACAACGCTCTTTCTGATGGACGTAAGAAGGATATTATGAAGGCAAGAGAGCGTCTTTTAATGAAAATCCAGCATTCAAATCAGGCGAGAAATATAAAATAAAAAAATCAAATCAAAACAAACGGCAAATTAAAAAAACGAACCAGACATTATGTGGCCTAAAGACAAAAAAAAAAAAAAAAACATAAGTCGAAAACGGAAGACATAAAACCTATCCCTATTTTTGTAGCGGCGATATTTCCCCAGAAAAGTTATTTCTAAACTCCAAATTAATCACAGGCAAGACACAAGCAAAGTATAGAGAATCAAAACGTGTCGATCAAGAAGTCAATCGAATTAAAAAGTGAAAACAAAAAAATCATTTCAAAAAGTCGTGAAAAGCTCCGTGTATATTTGCGAAAGAGTGTCGTCGAAGCAACCGTGAGCCAGGGTCGTAAAAGTAAAGAGCGTGCATCATAAAAGAGTGTATAAGTTCGTAGCGTAGTAAAGTGAGTGTGCTGGTGGTCGTCAAAAAAATTGTTTAATGGACAAAGGGAAAGTTGCCACCTGAGTAATGGTCCATCATCCCTTGGTCCATGGGTATCATACCGTCGTGAATGTTGTGACTGAAGGGGACTGCTGTGGAGGCCTGGGCTCCAGCGGTGGATGCCGACACGGTCGCCCCAAAGTCCATGTCTTCGTCCTGGGCCCAGTTCATGCCGTCAAGGTCCCAGAGTCCTTGTTGGTCCAGCATGCTGAGCATACCGATGTCCGGTTCGAAGCCAATGGGCGACATGTGGAACTCAGACTCCGCTGCGCCTGCGGCCGACGCCGCGTGGATAGCGTTGCTAAGCATCAGGCTATGCGATTGCTCATTGACGAGATGCTGGTGCTCGTGTGGCTGCTGCTGCTGTGGATGCACATTTTGGGCAGCGTTGGCGTGGATGCGACTGGCTGGGTGTGGTTGTAGCAGGCCGGGCTGGCGTGACGCCTCGTACATGCGTAGGACAACCTCTCGGCTACGACGTGCCGCCAGGGACCACTCCTCCATGGCCTCGAGCATAGCTAGCACGGACTCAATCTGCTTGTGCCACTCGGGGACACGAGGGCTGGACCACTGCCAAAATATGGACACGAGGGGCACCATGGCAGCCTGGTAGACGAACCAGACTGCGTTCCAGCCAGACATTTGGTTGCGAGACCATTCGTGCGAGATATCGTCAATAGTCTGCTTAGCCAGCTCGCGGCAAGTCTCGACGGCTGCAATTTCGGACTCGGGGGCATGTGTCTGACCACTGGATGCCAATCCCAAAAGTACCGGCCGGTGCAGCAGCATCCGGAGGTTCTGGTAGCGCCATTTCATGATGCAGCGAGCAATGTACAGAGGCTCGGCACAAGGGTCTGTCGTGCGCAGGAGCCATGGCAAACCCTGATACCAGTTCACCAGCTGAGCGTCGAGGTCGCAGCGGTCGTCAAGTCGGAGAAGTGGCGAGATGGCGAGCATGTCCTGGATCTGCGTGGCGATCTTGCAGAACTTGATGTTCTCAATCAGCGGGAGGCTGCCGGCGTGCTGTGCGGCGTCACGGGCGCCTGCGATGCCGAACTCGGGGGACTGGATGTTGATGGCAGGGCCCCAGCGTCCAAACGAGGGTCTTCCCATGGTGGTCGTAGCCCAAGTATCGAGGCAGAACAGACTCCACCAGGTCCGGCGGCGCGTCTCGGCGGCAGCGACGTCGGTCGTGCCCCCATGGGCTAAGCTCTCGCGGTGCAGACCCAGGGCGCTAGCCATGCGAATGGCAGCACCCAGAACGGCATTGGCCATGTTGGGACGGTTGATGTAGTGGAGGTAGTAGCCACCGATAATGGCTAACGCTTGCACCGTCTCAATGTGGCTGCTTCCAAAGGCGTCCATTGGCAGGTACTCCATGGCTTGGTTGTAGTAGGTGAAGTGGCTGGTGTCCTCCGACTTGGTGCCGGCCACGCTGCCCATGGCAAACACCACGTTTAGCAATGCCAGCCACGGCGCATCCGAGCGCTGGCCCTCGAGATAGTCGGCACGGAACGCAGTCTCGTCAAGCATGGGGATGAATGCATGTATGCGTTTAAAGTAGGCGTCAATCAGTGTCTGGCCCTTCCACGACCAAGACACGTTCTGTAGCTCCTTCCGGGTTGCCGATATGCCCGCCGCGCTGGTGGCAGCTTCATGTTTCTGGGTCTGTAGGCTCTGTTGCGGTTTGGTAGCGGGAATCGTGTGCGACATCTCAACGGCGTTATGAATGGATGCAGAGGCGAGAGAGTTGCGGAGGCCGGGCTGAACTTTGAGCATGACCATCAAAGCAGCCTTGATCGAAGATGCACCAAGATAGGATGTCTGGCGGTCGACTGCCAGCGACAGGGCATTCACGTCGTCGGCCTCTGCGGGAATAGGATCATGGTCCCGGCGCTCTTCGTCCCATTCGGCACCGCGGGTCGGGATTTGTTCGAGGCTGGACAGCGTTTGCTCCGATTTGAAGCAGACGGGCGACTGGAGCTCGTCGCTCATCGATGCAGACCTGAGAGGCGGCGATGGCAGCGTAGTTAAACCAGGTTCACTGCCCGCGGACCGGTCGAGCAAAGCAAGAAGCTCTGGCCGCGACAACGGTAGGAGGGACTGCGCGTCATGGCTGGGATACAGCCGCTTTAAAATCGACCGACACTCCTCCAGCGACTTGGAGAGCGCTTCTAGAGTCTTGCGTGAAGGAATGACCCTTTGCCGATGCTTGTCATAAAAACACCGTTTGGGTGCACGGCTAGACAGGCACTGGCCGCAAGGTTGCTTGCCATCGCACCGACTGAGGGGGCAGTGATGTGTCAGTGTGCGTTCTAAAGTGGTGTGCACCTAACATTCCACTGCCGGAACAGAACTTGGGGCATGCCATTCCATTTGACCTACATTTTGCGACGTTTGCATTCGGCGCATGCATGGGGCGTTGTGACTCTCTTGGAGGTGTTGGTCGTGGCGGTTTTGGTGCTATCCTGTGAGTCTGTTGACTGTTTCCGCGGTGTGACGCCCTGAAAGGTGTGGAACATGCCAGCCTGGGTCGCCACTGGGATGGTCGGCGCCATGGTGGGCAATGTGTACAGAGTGTCAGGTGTGACTCTCTAGCAAAGGCAATTTTGATTTTGCAACTGGGCCAGGGATCTGGATATGGAATGTGATGCCGGCAAGAGTGAGACAGATTGAGACAGATTGAGACAGATTGAGGCAGAGTGAGGCAGAGTGAGTGAAAGGCAGAGTGACAGGAAGATTGAGTGCTTGCTGAGAGGAGCGAAAAGTGGGTTGTTAGAGAGAATGAAGTGATTGTTGATTGATCAAGACCAGGATGGCGTGAACGAAGCTCAACGATGGGGAAGGGGGGAAGGGGGAATTATTTATCTTCAGTGACTAGTGTGCAGATGGAGATCTAGCGAAGCTGGGGAAATGGGGTGGGGTGCAGCAAGGTAGGTGATGGAGGGACGTAGAAAAAAAAGAATACGCAGAGCAATAAGGCAATGGACAAATAAAGCAAAACATATAAGACTGGGAAAAATATAACAAGAGAAATTAAACTAAGACAATACAAGAACGACGAGGACCTGATTGAGATATGATGTGGAAGTGACTTGGCGACGGGAGGCAGACATGCCCTGAGATGCCCTTCTCCACATCCCGTTCATGGAGACGGGCAAGTCGAGCAGAGCAGACGACAAGGCGCATGTATGAAGATGTTGACTCGTGCAGGAGGAGGTGGAATAAATCCCGCTAGTACGAGGGTATTCTGGGGAACGTCAGGGGATGGATGAGGGGGCCAGAGAAAGTGCCAACGCACTATTCAAAGTATAGTGCGCATAACGGGCGTTCTAAGGTCGGAGCATGGTAGGGGGTGCCGAGAAAAAAGCGAGGTGTAAATAAGAATCAGCAAAGGAGCTGTGGGAGCGCGAGGGAGCGCGAAGGAACAATATGATGGATGGACTCATCACATATGAGTGAGAGGTAAAGTAAACGAGAGGCCCTCGATAATCACTGTGGGAAAACCGCAGATAAAAGAAAAGCATCGCCGCGCAATGCCGTGCGTTGTGCATTTAGAGGCGTCTGAGCTTCATTGCGCCTGCATTTGAATAGCGTTTCTGACAAGGCATATATGGGCGCATATAGCGTACTGACGGCTGGTGCGCGTGTGCCAGACTGCGTACGGAGCAGATGGACTGCACATGACAGATAGCGAGGCCGACCGGGCGAGGAGCACGACGACACAGAGCAGCCCTCGGACAGAGCGCAGAGACCACATGCGTCGAGCTTAAGCAATGGGCCTTGCGGCGTACGTATAGTGCGGAATGGGGGTATAAGACGCGGGACGTATTGCTATAGCGGCTGAGGGCGAGTGGGAGGGCGAGTCTGAGAAGGAGGGAAGGCTGTTTCTGCGCGCACGGGCAGACACAAGTTGTCAACAGAGAGCAGAGAGCAGAGCGCAGAGCGCAGAGCGCAGAAGAACTCGATATTGGGGGGCCATTATTACTCACAGGGGCAGAGTCGCACACTCGACCAGCCACAGGCACAGAGTGGCATTGGCCAGCATTGTTCAGGCACATACGGTATTCCTGAGGAGGGGCGGCTGGATGTGGAGATGGGCTGCATTGCGGCGCGTGTCGCACCACTTGGACCGGAGATGCGGACAAGAAAACAGGAACATGTCAAAAGAGACGCATTTTTGGGCGTTTGCATTTCACGATATATTTAGCAAACGGGCATCAAGCAACAAACCAGCTCCTTCCCTTGGTTGTGCAAATTAATACCGATCCGGAAGGAAGCATAGGCGGCGTCTAACGCAGCAACGACGGACATGTTGAGCAGGTACGAAGATATGCCAGGAAAGCGCACTCGTAATGCCGGAAAGCAGGGCAGGTACGTGATGGGGCACGGGGAGGGGCAAGACTTGCTCTGGTAGGCGAGACAGGAAAGAACGATGCGTGCATCCCAACAAAAGACCAACATTGTGTGGTTGTTTCAAGTTTCGGAGCCAACATAGTCCAGACTCTGTAAAAGGAAAGAAGGCAACGAGGACGCGGGAAAGAACAACCAAGGAAACATACTCCATGAAAAGAAGGAGCGACCAGAGCGACGCACGTCCAGATCACAGAAGAGCGATCATTGTACATCGTACGTCGTATGTCGTCCACGACATGGACGGTGTGGCCAGCTCTCGAGAAGAAGGTCATTCAGCAGTCCACCCGCAGATCAGCGTCCTCCGGCCAATGTCCTTGCCACCAGTGGTAGGGCGTTATTTAACCGGCCACGAACCAGGCCGTTGAGAGTGTATTCTTTCCGCTACGAAGTACTCGAAAGCTTCACAGGGCGTACAAGCCCACATACTCAAAACGGAAAGCAGATGTAAATGATGACAAAAAAAATGTAAAAAATGAGAAGATCGCCTACCAACACGGAAGGAAGGCTTTAGAGGCCGCTAACGTATCAGAGTGCGCAGTTAGAGAAAAAGAAGGAACGTGCAAACTATTCCGCTTCTGGAGCTACTGCGCGCGGTCGCACCTACCTCACAGTTGACAACTGCGGTTCGCCCCTTCCTCTGCGAAAAGAATGTTTTAAAGTTCTTCTAGTGATGGCGCATGGCCTGGCCTCTCCGGCAGTATCTCTGATGTTGATCCAGGTTCCTACCAAGTTTGGAAAGAGGGGAACCTGATCTTACACGGAGGTGTAAAGAGGGTTGCATTGGAAAGAAGGCATGCCTGGCAAGTGCGGGCTCGACCCAGCGTAGTGCGGCGCCCAGCACAAAGGAAGGATGGCCCAAAACGGCAGTCGACGCCGCCACCAACAGGCCAGGCCCCTGTGTGCTTTTTCCTCCAGTCGCATAACACGCATTTTCAATCTGCGACGCCATGTTGTCAATATGCTGCTCTTTCTGCGCCAACTCCGTTCGGAGTCCTCCACCTGTTTGTCTGTATCGCTCTGCCGTGTAAAAAAAATAAGACGATGGACATGCGAGGTTGCCTGTGACCATTCGACTTCTCATCATCGCCTTCGACAGCAAGGACCTGCCAACTCGGTTGTGGCCGTTGATCTACGGTTCCTAGACGATCAGCCTCCGACTGAAAGAAACGGGCTACAAATGAAGGCGAGGCGAATGAAGCGAGGGGTATATTATCGGCCGGAGCTTGCTGCCTGTCACTGGGTACTGGTGGGTTGTCGTTCTTAGTCGTTCTTTGTCGTTCTTGTTTGTTAGAGACAACATCGACACGCTTCAAATCTACATACAAGGAGACGAGCGTAGTGTTGAAGAGCGCGGGAGGATTTCCTTGGCCCGCTACCTGGGTGGTACATGATTCATTTGAGGTGTCCTGTCTCTTTTGCATTGCGTTTTATTCGCTGAACTGTCGCCAGTAAAGAGAGGCGGCAGGTTGCTTTGGAATAAATCAAGGAGGATACGAAAATAAACGGACAAGAGAAGAATGCCATTCGCTGCTTTGCTTGACAGAATCGGGATGAAATGAGCTGCTGTGAAATAGCAACGACGACGACGACGACAGCAATTACGACAGCAAATGTACAAACGGCTTTTAAACTACCCATCGTGTCATGTGCACCAGATGGGGGCCAACGGGCGGCCGTTTCTGCGGCCAGTGCTCAATCTCATATCGGTCTCCATTTTCGCAATCTCGCGTCCGAATTCTGGGAGTCCCTTTCTTTCCCTTCTTTGATAGCTGACGGATATTTGTACCGTGTTGTATTATTTTTTCTTCATTTCTGGTCGTCCGGGGCCGTCTGGGGTCTTGCACTAGGGCTGGAACTCATGCTCCGGGTACTGTCACGCTCCAGATATGCCTTCGTACTCATATACCAGGGCCTTGCCTGCCGCACAACGGACAGCGATGGCAATGGACAGAACGTGGAGAAGCCAAGAATATGTACAAAGGCACATGGCACAAGACGCGACGACTTGCTCGATATATGAAGGGATGGAGCGTCGTCACGGGTAAGCGTGGTCACTGTTTTTCAATACCTGACTGTACCTTTTGTGCCGTCTTGTCCCTTTCTTTTTGCTGACCTTTCCTGCTCCCCTTTCCAATACAATTGTATTATATCTTCGAGAAGTCTAGACATGACTTTTTGCCACCATACTGTCCTCGTGAACGCTTCTATCGTCACCGAGGCCCTCACTTGATATATTATTATTTCAATATGTAAGACTCCACTCTCGCCCAACTTTTGTCCTCAATATGCAGACACCTCTTCCCGTTCCTCCGGCGCAAGCCATGGAATATTTGATTTACGTAGGCAAGCTTCGTCCTGAACTCTCAGATTTTCATGGACTGTAGACTGACTGTACTACTTTCAAGAAAGGTGACTCCTTTCGGAGATTTTTTTGAGTATGAGAAGACGCCTCCTCCTGTCCACGTACTGTGCCAAGGCCCAAGCTTTTTGCTAATTTATACAATCTGCGGTACTCGTGTCTGATTGGATCTATCATATCCTATTTCATTCTAGCACCATGAATATCCACTTGTACCAGCCCCATCTGCAGGCAGTAGACCCGGGCGACGACACTGTAAAAGAGGGGATTGTAAAGTGCGTGGCAAGAATGGAGTAGGAACATCGGCCGGCGAAAAAGGAGCCCAGCGCTAAGATTTGAATTCAAGTCTCACGGCACTGTTGCTATAATTCAAAAGTATTATGTAGTCTACACTACATTCGCAGCCATACAAATATAATCGAAAACAAGGTAGTCTCACACAATACGTCCATGTCAGACGATGTTTAAATCTCCTAGTCATCCAGTCCGCAACTCGTGCATCCTCTGCCTGGGCTAGAGTGAAGTTTCGGGTAAGCCGTGAAATGTATCACATAACGGACAGTCAGACAGTTTTTTTTTTGTTATTTTTTATTTAAAATAAGTTCGGTTACCCGTCCCGGATCTGATATTGGCACTCTGTCTACCCCCAACATCTCGTGCAACATCAGAAAAAGACGCACTCACCAGGCCGCCGGATCTCTGTGCATCCGGCGTGGGATATAATCACGTTTTTGGCCAAATGTCTTTTGTCCTTCTGTGCTTTATTTACGTCTGCACGCTGCA